TTACACGATCTAAACCCAAAAAAATCTCTATTATGGATCTTAAGTACATATTTCGTGCATATCTATTTAAATACAATGAATGCAAAAATATACACATGACCATTTAATGTAGCTAAGAATACATATATTTTTTAATGGTTACAGAATAAAAAAAAGTGAAGCAATCGTAACCACTCCAGTAGCAACCAAGAGCCCTATAACCGTTTTTCACGTAATGTTTAACCGAAATGTCAGGCAAACAAAGAGGGCACTGTTCTACTTTGGACACCATTTGTACACGCACAGCCCTTTTTGTCAATCCACTGCTGGATGACGGCCTCCCCCACACCGTGCGCATCGCGGGGGCTTATGTATGACCATACTTCAAGATGCGGGCCAGCGGCAGTGCAGGCTTTTTTGGAACGTGGGAGGCATAGATTTGGATGTTAAGGGTCACATTACAAAAAAATGATTTTGCTCCACTTCCCTCTGCTGCTCACCGCGTAGCTCCGCAGGCCTATCATGACACGGCTTGGTCACCCATCCAAGCACGGATCAGGCTCGACCCTGTTGCCGAGCCTCTGGGTGCTTTTGGTCACAGGACAGCTATATAACACGGTGCATTCAAATGCACCTTCCCTCGCAGTTTACACACGTACGGTATATGCAGCGTGATATTGCAGGGCAGTGTGTGCACTTTTAGTGCAACACTTCAAGTAAAATAGCAATATTATTTACATGTGCTACAGTAATGTGGGTCACTTTGACATGGACTGCAACAATGATGAATTTCGCTTGTATATTGTGGATTAAAATTATTTGCAATTTATCAGGTCAGTTTTAGTGATGGCCTATCATGAACGTTTTGATGCTGCTTTCAAATTAAACCGTAGAAAATATAAATAATGGGAAAATAAATATTATTATTTTCATGTCCTGGCTTGAGTAGACCACAGCTCCTCCTGAGCTGAGAGACTGTCGAGGATCTTGGGCACAAATTGGAGCATATTATTTTTAAAAAACACGTTTTTTTAAATCGGCTTTAAAACTCATTAAAGTGCGACATTTACCGTATCAATGTCAAACAACCTAATTATGCCAGATCCGTATTTTGAATGCGTGCATATTAATAACTTTCAGAGTTTGCATTCCATCACACTCAGATAACCGGCACAATCTTAAGCACACCTAAAAGCCTGTACACGTGATTGCACTTTGAAGTACTGCAACAGCTTTATGCATACTGTGCGTGTGTACATTTCATTGTGCACCATAAGGCCAGTATTGTGCAGAGTGCACGGTACTGTATACAATTAGTCAATGTTCAAATCACCCAGAATGTGTGCGCTGTCTCCTGGAGCTGAGCGGGTTTGAGCATGGATAGCAATACTAAACTTTTATTTCATGAGACCTCCTTTGCCAGTAACAAGATACAGTAATGGGTTTTACCCTTTAAACTTTTGGCGTCTTCTGGTCTAACACCAGTGGAGACTAGGCTCTAAGAAAAGCCGTCTCGGGTGTGGACCAATCAATTTCAAGGACAGTGCATATTATTATCAGAGTTGTCTCTTTTGTTTGCATTTTGACTGCTTGTGTTGTGGTTATTGCAAACATGATGCCTTGAATAAAGGTGTCAGTTTTTGTGCCAGTTAAAAGGGTAAAACCTATTACTATAAACTTTTATTGTTTTACCAGGTAAGGCCCACTGAGCTTTACAGCTCTCTATCAGAAGCAAGCTGGCCACAATTGATAGCCCAACGAAGTGGCTTACCGCGCGGAAATGTACAGCAGCCACATACTCTAAACGCGTGTTTCTAAATGTGGAAAGACCGGAGGACCTGGAGAAAAATCCACGCGACCACGGGCAGAGAGACAAGAAAACTCCAAAAATACAGCAGCAGCAGGCGTCAGGGTCGGGATCGAATCCACGACCTCCTGCATACCAGGCGAGGTAGTTAACATCTCACCACCAAGTGTATGGATGGGTGACCCCCATGCACATCAGGTATCATTGGCTGCGGTTTGCTACGTTGTGGGCAGAAAAGGGCGTTGTTATACTGTACGTCTATGCTCTCAGCTTTTACCGATCCGCAATGACCAGCGTGGTGAAGTATGGTGAAATAACAACCCCGTACAGTACAGGGTGGTCCAGATTGTCTTGTGACCCCCATTGAATTCTCTAAAACTTACAAAAAATTTTAAGGAAGGTTTATAAAACAGAAATGAATATGAAAAAAAAATGTTAGGGGGTTTCAATGAATTCGGGGTCACAATACATCTGGACCACCCCTTTGCATTGTATCGCTGCATACAATGAAACGCATTCAAATCGTGGCCATGGGTTGGTTCTGAGCAAGTCCCTTGTCTTGAAGAAGGGAGGAGACCCCCCCTGTTTCAGGACACGAGATTCCTCCATACGGAAGGGGACCCCCGTCTCAGGGAAGGGGACCCCCTTTGCCTTAGGGAGTGAAACAACGTAGATGTTAACTACCTCGCCTGGTCAACAGGAGGTCGTGGGTTTTATCACGACGCGTTGTTGTATAGTAAGGAGGAGTTTGCGTGTCTCTCTCCACGTTTCGAATGAATAATCGCGGACGTTTGGGAGAGAATTTGGCTGCTAGAAATGTCCACGTGATAAACCAACCAAACTTGTCGGGCTGTCATTTGTGATTGGCAGGTCGCCTCCGAGAGCAAGAAAGAGAGCTACATAGCTCAGTGGGCTTCTGCCTGATAAAATAACAAATAGTTGTGATAGTTTTTAGCCTCGGGGAAGAGACTCCCTCCTCCCTCCCACCCCACTCACTGCTTTAGGGTAACGGAAGCCCCGCGTCTCATGGACGAGAGCCGTGCCCCAGCAAAAACCGCGCTCTCAAAAGAGAATCCGCTCTCAAAGCAAACCCCTGCCTCTGTGCAGACCCCCCCGGGGCCCGCTGTTTCAGGGACCCCCGTCTCATCAAGGACCCCCGTCTCATCAAGGACCCCCGTCTCATCAGGGACCCCCGTCTCATCAAGGACCCCCGTCTCATCAAGGACCCCCGTCTCATCAGGGACCCCCGTCTCATCAGGGACCCCCGTCTCATCAAGGACCCCCGTCTCATCAAGGACCCCCGTCTCATCAGGGACCCCCGTCTCATCAGGGACCGCCGTGTCGGCGGGTGGGGTAGCGAACCGCCTTAGGGGGTCCCCTGTCCCGCTGGTGATGTGTGGGGTGTGTGGGTGGTGATGTGTGTGGTGGTGATGTGTGGTGGTGGTGATGTGTGTGGTGGTGGTGATGTGTGTGGTGATGATGTGTGTGGTGGTGATGTGTGTGGTGGTGATGTGTGGTGGTGGTGATGTGTGGTGGTGGTGATGTGTGTGGTGGTGGTGATGTGTGTGGTGGTGATGTGTGTGGTGGTGATGTGTGTGGTGGTGATGTGTGGGGTGGTGATGTGTGTGGTGATGATGTGTGTGGTGGTGGTGATGTGTGTGGTGGTGATGTGTGGTGGTGGTGGTGGTGATGTGTGGGTGGTGATGTGTGTGGTGATGATGTGTGTGGTGGTGGTGGTGATGTGTGTGGTGGTGATGTGTGGGGTGGTGATGTGTGTGGTGGTGGTGGTGATGTGTGGGTGGTGATGTGTGGTGGTGATGTGTGGTCGTGATGTGTGGTCGTGGTGATGTGTGGTGGTGGTGGTGATGTGTGTGGTGGTGATGTGTGTGGTGGTGATGTGTGGTGGTGGTGATGTGTGTGGTGGTGGTGATGTGTGTGGTGATGATGTGTGTGGTGGTGATGTGTGTGGTGGTGATGTGTGGGTGGTGAAGTGTGGGGTGGTGATGTGTGTGGTGGTGATGTGTGTGGTGGTGATGTGTCGGTGGTGATGTGTGTGGTGGTGATGTGTGTGGTGGTGATGTGTGTGGTGGGGGGGTGGTGATGTGTGGGTGGTGATGTGTGTGGTGGTGATGTGTGGGGTGATGGGTGTGGTGGTGATGTGTGTGGTGGTGATGTGTGGGTGGTGATGTGTGTGGTGGTGATGTGTGTGGTGGTGATGTGTGGGGTGGTGATGTGTGGGGTGATGGGTGTGGTGGTGATGTGTGGGTGGTGATGTGTGGTGGTGGGGGGGGGTGGTGGTGTGTGGGTGGTGATGTGTGGTGGTGGTGATGTGTGGGTGGTGATGTGTGGGGTGGTGATGTGTGGTGGTGGTGATGTGTGTGGTGGTGGTGTGTGTGGTGGTGGTGTGTGTGGTGGTGATGTGTGTGGTGGTGATGTGTGTGGTGATGTGTGGGGTGGGTGGTGATGTGTGTGTGGTGATGTGTGGTGGTGGTGTGTGTGGTGGTGGTGTGTGTGGTGGTGGTGTGTGTGGTGGTGGTGTGTGTGGTGGTGGTGTGTGTGGTGGTGGTGTGTGTGGTGGTGGTGTGTGTGGTGGTGATGTGTGTGGTGGTGATGTGTGTGGTGGTGATGTGTGTGGTGGTGATGTGTGTGGTGGTGATGTGTGGTGGTGGTGATGTGTGTGGTGGTGGTGATGTGTGTGGTGGTGGTGATGTGTGTGGTGGTGATGTGTGTGGTGGTGATGTGTGTGGTGGTGGTGTGTGTGGTGGTGATGTGTGTGGTGGTGATGTGTGTGGTGGTGATGTGTGTGGTGGTGATGTGTGTGGTGGTGATGTGTGGTGGTGGTGATGTGTGTGGTGGTGGTGATGTGTGTGGTGGTGATGTGTGTGGTGGTGATGTGTGTGGTGGTGATGTGTGTGGTGGTGGTGTGTGGGGGGGGGTGGTGTGTGTGGTGGTGATGTGTGGGGGGGTGGTGATGTGTGTGGTGGTGGTGTGTGTGGTGGTGATGTGTGTGGTGGTGATGTGTGGGGGGGTGGTGATGTGTGTGGTGGTGATGTGTGGTGGTGATGTGTGTGGTGGTGATGTGTGTGGTGGTGGTGTGTGTGGTGGTGATGTGTGGTGGTGATGTGTGGGGGGGGTGGTGATGTGTGTGGTGGTGATGTGTGGGGGGGGTGGTGATGTGTGGTGTTGGTGGGGGGCCCGGCGGGGGCTCTCTCACCTCGCGCGAGGCCGCCACGCTGGTGTAGTAAACCTTCACCACCATGGCTCAGATGACTCTCAGATGACTCCCCCCTGCTGCTCCTCCTGCTCCTGCTGCTGCTCCTGCTGCTCCTCCTGCTGCTCCTGCTGCTGCTCCTCCTGCTCCTGCTGCTGTTGGTGAATGCCGCGGTCGGTGTCTCGCAGCCCGCAGCGGAAGGGCGTAGCAGGCGGCAAAGCGGTCGGTCGCTTGAGGATCCGAGGCTGCCCCCACCCAGGCGACGTCAGGCCCAGAGGATTTACCTCCAGATTGCGGATATATCGCGATATGGCGATACCACGATACGTGTATGTGTCGTGATATCGCGATATGGCGATATTACGATACGTGTGTCGTGATATCGCGATATGGCGATACTACGATACGTGTGTGTCGTGATATCGCGATATGGCGATACTACGATACGTGTGTGTATCGTGATATCGCGATATGGCGATACCACGATACGTGTATGTGTCGTGATATCGCGATATGGCGATACCACGATAAGTGTGTGTATCGTGATATGGCGATATGGCGATACTACGATACGTGTGTGTATCGTGATATAGCGATATGGCGATACTACGATACGCGTGTGTATCGTGATATCGCGATATGGCGATACTACGATACGTGTGTGTGTCGTAATATCGTGATATGGCGATACCACGATACGTGTATGTGTCGTGATATCGCGATATGGCGATACCACGATAAGTGTGTGTATCGTGATATGGCGATATGGCGATACTACGATACGTGTGTGTATCGTGATATAGCGATATGGCGATACTACGATACGTGTGTATCGTGATATCGCGATATGGCGATACCACGATACGTGTATGTGTCGTGATATCGCGATATGGCGATACCACGATAAGTGTGTGTATCGTGATATGGCGATATGGCGATACTACGATACGTGTGTGTATCGTGATATCGCGATATGGCGATACTACGATACGTGTGTGTGTCGTAATATCGTGATATGGCGATACCACGATACGTGTATGTGTCGTGATATCGCGATATGGCGATACTCGATACGTGTGTATCGTGATATCGCGATATGGCGATACCACGATACGTGTGTGTGCGTCGTGATATCGCGATATGGCGATACTATGATACGTGTGTGTGTCGTGATATCGCGATATGGCGATACTACGATACGTGTGTATCGTGATATCGCGATATGGCGATACCACGATACGTGTGTGTGTGTCGTGATATCGCGATATGGCGATACTATGATACGTGTGTGTGTGTCGTGATATCGCGATATGGCGATACCACGATACGTGTGTGTGTCGTGATATCGCGATATGGCGATACTACGATACGTGTGTATCGTGATATGGCGATACTACGATACGTGTGTGTATCGTGATATCGCGATATGGCGATACTACGATATGTGTGTGTGTCGTGATATCGCGATATGGCGATACTACGATACGTGTGTGTCGTGATATCGCGATATGGCGATACCACGATACGTGTGTGTTTATCGTGATATGGCGATACTACGATACGTGTGTGTATCGTGATATCGCGATATGGCGATACTACGATACGTGTGTGTATCGTGATATCGCGATATGGCGATACCACGATACGTGTGTGTATCGTGATATCGCGATATGGCGATACTACGATACGTGTGTGTATCGTGATATCGCGATATGGCGATACTACGATACGTGTGTGTATCGTGATATCGCGATATGGCGATACTACGATACGTGTGTGTGTCGTGATATCGCGATATGGCGATACTACGATACGTGTCTGTGTGTCGTGATATCGCGATATGGCGATACTACGATACGTGTGTGTCGTGATATCGCGATATGGCGATACTACGATACGTGTGTGTGTGTCGTTCGATACTATCCACGGTGTTCGCGCGATGTGCCGGAGCATCGCCGTGCCGTAAATGTATAACGAGCTTGACTAGCCGGCTTCGCCCGGGACTTGGATCCACCACGCCCGGCCGCCTTTGTCTCCCCAGTGGCGATGTTCACACACCACAGCAGTTAGTCGTTTGAGGCTGAGTCGACCTAGGGGAGGCCCAGGACCGGTTAAAATAATCGTGGTGGCCGTGAGCGGGAATCGAACTCGCGTGGCCGGGTTCAGTCGCTGCCCGCCCCCCCCACACAGACAGACACAGGATAAAGACAAAGGTCCCCCGTGTAGCCTGTGAGACTGTAGGGGGCAAGTGCTGTGAGTAGCGAGTAGCAGCACCCTGTGAAGGCTACCGGCACTGTGGCACACGGGGGGGGTGGGTGGCCAGCAGCACCACGCCCGGCCGCCTTTGTCTCCCCACAGCGCGCTAACCACTGCACCACCGCTCCCCCCCCACACACACACAGTCACGTCCATAGGTACACGAACACGCGCTTGATGCAGACCAGACACCCAACGCAACTTGCAGGGTGCGTACGGCAGTAGACGACTCAAATAATAAAGCAAAGCTGCGCGAAGAACGCCTGAGACCTGCAACACATTTGTATGGCACTTTAGCCGCGATCAGCAGGCACGCTCCGTTATTTTAAATGAGAAAACGAGAGAATTTGTGTCTTTGCGTTCACATAAATTCAGAAAAAACAACAACATATGAATCAAAATTAACATGTATTTATACTAAGGTAATACACAAATGACGACAAAAGATTTGGAAGTGAGTAGTTTTTCGAGATTTACGATTATACTGTAAATCACTTTCACGAATCAGCCCCCCAGATGTAGTCTCTCATCATGTTCTCGTTATACCGTCCTTGGTAGCGGCGTTCAAAGTCAACTACAGTGAGGGAAAAAAGTATTTGATCCCCTGCTGATTTTGTACGTTTTCCCACTGACGAAGAAATGATCAGTCTATAATTTTAATGGTAGGTTTATTTGAACAGTGAGAGACAGAAGAACAACAAAAAAATCCAGAAAAACGCATGTCAAAAATGTTATAAATTGATTTGCATTTTAATGAGGGAAATAAGTATTTGACCCCTCTGCAAAACATGACTTAGTACTTGGTGGCAAAACCCTTGTTGGCAATCACAGAGGTCAGACGTTTCTTGTAGTTGGCCACCAGGTTTGCACACATCTCAGGAGGGATTTTGTCCCACTCCTCTTTGCAGATCTTCTCCAAGTCATTAAAGTTTCGAGGCTGACGTTTGGCAACTCTAACCTTCAGCTCCCTCCACAGATGTTATATAGGATTAAGGTCTGGAGACTGGCTAGGCCACTCCAAGACCTTAATGTGCTTCTTCTTGAGCCACTCCTTTGTTGCCTTGGCCGTGTGTTTTGGGTCATTGTCATGCTGGAATACCCATCCACGACCCATTTTCAATGCCCTGGCTGAGGGAAGGATGGTACATGGCCCCGTCCATCGTCCCTTCGATGCGGTGAAGTTGTCCTGTCCCCTTAGCAGAAAAACACCCCCAAGGTCATAATGTTTCCACCTCCATGTTTGACGGTGGGGATGGTGTTCTTGGGGTCATAGGCAGCATTCCTCCTCCTCCAAACACGGCAAGTTGAGTTGATGCCAAAGAGCTCCATTTTGGTCTCATCTGACCACAACACTTTCACCCAGTTGTCCTCTGAATCATTCAGATGTTGATTGGCAAACTTCAGACGGGCATGTATACGTGCTTTCTTGAGCAGGGGGACCTTGCATGCGCTGCAGGATTTCAGACCTTTACGGCGTAGTGTGTTACCAATTGTTTTCTTGGTGACTATGGTCCCAGCTGCCTTGAGATAATTGACACGATCCTCCCTTGTAGTTCTGGGCTGATTCCTCACCGTTCTCAGATTGACAGTTCTTTTGTGTTTCTTCCATTTGCGAATAATCGCGCCAACTGTTGTCACCTTCTCACCAAGCTGCTTGGCAATGGTCCTGTAGCCCATTCCAGCCTTTTGTAGGTCTACAATCTTGTCCCTGACATCCTTGGAGAGCTCTTTGGTCTTGGCCATGGTGGAGAGTTTGGAATCTAATTGATTGCTTCTGTGGACAGGTGTCTTTTATACAGGTAACAAGCTGAGATTAGGAGCACTCCCTTTAAGTGTGCTCCTGATCTCAGCTCGTTACCTGTATAAAAGATACCTGAGAGCCAGAAATCTTTCTGATTGAGAGGGGGTCAAATACTCCCTCATCAAAATGCAAATCAATTTATAAAATTTTTGACATGCGTTTTTCTGGATTTTGTTGTTGTTATTCTGTCTCTCACTGTTCAAATAAACCTACCATTAAAATTATAGACTGATCATTTCTTTGTCAGTGGGCAAACGTACAAAATCAACAGGGGATCAAATATTTTTTCCCTCACTCTATATCCTGGTGGAAGCACTCTCCTTGCTCCTCTGAGTACACTCCCATGTTCTCCTTGAATTTATGAAGATGAGCATCAAGGATATGGACTTTGAGGGACATCCTAGTAGTTCTTCATCAGAGTCTCAACCAGCTCCACATAGCTTTACTCAGCACGGAATCTATCTGGAATGTTCAGAAAAATATGTAAATTTCTAAATATCAATGTCCTAGTCACAAAAGCAAAGTTTGTGGGGAATAATAGCCATTTTCTGCACTTTTCAGGCATACGCAATTAGGAAATAACACGTACTACCCAGGAACAAAAAATAAAAAAAATTGTTACAGAGTGGTTCATTCTAGATTTGAAGTTTTCGTGACTGCAATGATCCACACTCTTTGGTTCTTTCGGTAAGGTCACAGTGTTATCGTTGCGATGAAGAGTCACGATACGATAGAAAGGTCGTGCACTGCGGCTGTTGTTCGATGTCTTTGTCAAGGCGTGGGGCAGGAGCGGCTGTGGCCAGGACACCACCGGAGCGGGCTTGCTCATGTCCCTGTGACTGCCGAACGTGTTCAGTGGCTCCTGTTGTCCACTTGTGCACCGCACGATTTGTTTGCTAAAAGAAGCCGAAGCTAAGGGAGACCCTGGCCAGGGTGCTTGCCCCTACAGCTCCCCCACCCACGGCTCCCCCCCACCCACAGCTCCACCCCACCCACAGCTCCCCCCCACCCACAACTCCGCACCCACAACTCCTCACCCACAGCTCCCCCCCACCCACAGCTCCCCCCCACCCACAGCTCCCCCCCCGCCACCCACACGTCGCCCCACCCAAAGCTCCTCCCACCCACAGCTCCCCCCACCCACAGCTCCCCCCACCCACAGCTCCTCCCCACCCACGGCGCCCCCCACCCACGGCTCCCCCCCCCCCACCCACGGCTCCCCCCCACCCACGGCTCCCCCCCACCCACGGCTCCCCCCCACCCACAGCTCCCCCCACCCACAGCTCCTCCCCACCCACAACTCCCCCCCACGCACAGCTCCCCCTCCACCCACAACTTCCCCCCCACCCACAGCTCCCCCCACCCACAGCTCCCCCTCCACCCACAACTTCGCCCCACCCACAGCTCCCCCCCACCCACAGCTCCCCCCCACCTACAGCTCCCCCCCACCCACAGCTCCCCCCACCCACAGCTCCCCCCTACCCACAGCTCCCCCCACCCACAGCTCCTCCCCACCCACAGCTCCCCCCCACCCACAGCTCCTCCCCACCCACTGCTCCTCCCCACCCACAGCTCCCCCCCACCCACACCTCGCCCCACCCAAAGCTCCCCTCACCCACGGCTCCCCCCCACCCACGGCTCCCCCCCACCCACGGCTCCCCCCCCCACCCACAACTCCCACCCACACCTCGCCCCACCCACAGCTCCCCCACCCACAGCTCCCACCCACCCACAGCTCCCCCCACCCACACCTCCCCCCCACCCACACCCCCACCCACACCTCCCCCCCACCCACACCTCCCCCCCACCCACACCTCCCCCCCACCCACACCCACACCTCCCCCCCACCCACACCTCCCCCCCACCCACACCTCCCCCCCACCCACACCTCCCCCCCACCCACACCTCCCCCCCACCCACACTTCGCCCCACCCACAACTCCCACCCACCCACAGCTCCCCGTGGTGAAGACTTCCGCAATTCACCCTTTTTGGGTTTTGCTTTCGGTTCACTTCGCTCTCCTCGCAGGCGCTCCCGGTCTGCGTGGTGTGTCTAGGTGTGGTATGTGTGGTGTGTGTAGGTGTGGTAAGTGTGTGTGGTGTGTGTAGGTGTGGTAAGTGTGTGTGGTGTGTGGTGTGTGTAGGTGTGGTGTGGTGTGTGGTGTGGTGTGTGTAGGTGTGGTGTGTGTGGTGTGTGTAAGTGTGGTGTGTGTCTAGGTGTGTGTGGTGTGTGTGTAGGTGTGGTAAGTGTGTGTAGGTGTGTGTAGGTGTGGTGTGTGTAGGTGTGTGTCTAGGTGTGTGTGTGGTGTGTGTGTAGGTGTGGTGTGTGTGGTAAGTGTGTGTGGTGTGTATAGGTGTGGTGTGCGTGTAGGTGTGTGTGGTGTGTGTGTAGGTGTGGTGTGCGTGGTGTGTGTGAAGGCTGTAACGGTACGGCACGGTACTCGCCACTTAGACCATCAACTACTGCTTCTGTATCAGCAACATCTCACGAACACCATCCCCCCCTCCACCAACCACGCCACCGCCATCCACACCACCACCCACGCTTCGGGTGGGAGTGTGCGATGGAGGGGGAGTCGCCACGCATGTTCAGGGTGCGAATCCCGTCAGACGCTCAGAGATTCGGCGTGGTGGCCGTCAGCCTGTGCCAGCTCGTAACGAAGGCAGCGATAAAGCTGAAGCTCGCAGAGGTGAGTTGTGTGAATGGAGGAGTATTATAGTTCGTTCTCTAGCTACTATTTCGCGTTGTTATCGCGTTCTCACCGGGACTAAAGCAGGAAGTTATTTTTTTCCCCAATTACATTCCTTGAATAATTATCAAATAGAGCAAGTCAAGATCTATAAGTATATTGGGGTCATCCTGGATTCAAAACTGAATTTTGAAGATAACATTAATTATATTGGTAAAAAGACAAATAATTGGTTTTCTGTATCGACACAATCACTGCTTCCCCCCAATGTTCCGTTTGGAATTGATAAAAGCTACCATACTGCCTCTACTTGATTCCTGTGATATCGTGTATAAATCAGCCCCAAGTACTGTACTGAAGAAGCTTGATTCCATCTATCACTCGGCCTTAAGATTTGCTTTGAACTGCCCATATAGGACTCACCACTGTGATCTCTACATTGGGTCAAACTTAACATCTCTTAATGTTCGACGGCTTGTGCACCAGATCTTATTTATCCACGATGTACTTACAAAAAAAATCCGCAGACTACCTGCTGGATCTCCTCTCTGTTTCAAAGAACAAATTTGACCTCAGGTCTTCGCTCATTTACCAGCTTCACATTCCCTATTGCCGTACAAAAACTGGAGGAAGGGCCTTTGCTATTGATGCCCCCAGGGTCTGGAATGCTATTGCCAATAAACTGCAACTTGAATCACTACCTATGAGATCTTCACTCAAAACTGCTCTAGAGGACTTGTACACCCCTAGCTGCCACTGCTATTCAGTGGCCTAAAATATGGCTCTAGATTTTGGTGTTATAATTTATTTATGTAGTTTATTGTTAAAAATTCGGTCACAGTCCCTATGATCACTGTTACATTGCATTTATGGCTTTTATTTTGGTGATTTCGAAAACGTTTTTTTAGTTTTTGGCCATGTTTTTGTTTATTGTAGTACGGAGTTAGACTGACGGCCTTAATCTTAGTTGTCTTGTGGTTGTTGTTGTTATTTTACTTGCATCCCACTGGGATTTTTGCACACAGCGTTGGTGTACGGTGCTATTTCAGGAATATTTTGATGTTTTTTTTTCCTGGATTTTCTGTTTGCACAGTCACATAATCACTTTAAGATGTTTTCTTGTTCATGTTTTTTGTTTGTTGAGGTTGCACCCGATTCAAGAGCCGAATGGCTCACAGGGCTATACCAAATAAATAAACTATGAAACTAACTATGAAATATAACTGTGAACCCCTTATCAGTGCCTACCCTATTACAGACAAATCCAGACCTTATTGGTCACCCCCGTGCCCCTTATGGATCTCAACGTTCATCCTGAAAAGTCCCATCACAAGGGAGAAACGGACACGTGTGTTTTTTAGTTGTTGCCCGTATTGTACCCGGCTGTACAACGCATGGACCTTAAAACGAAATGCCCCTGTACAAGAATACGGGTTAACCGTATGGGTTGACAGCTCTGCTGCTGTCGAGATGGTGAATTGCTTCGAGAGCTGGGTTCCCCACGTGCTGGCACGCAGGAGGGGGGGGGGGCCCTCACCTGTGAACAATCTGGGGAGTGCAACGAGAATTTTGCTCGGTTGGGATAATCCGTGCGAGTCGTTCTTCGCGTACAGCACAGGGGCTTCAACAAAGCACGGGGGAAATTCAAACGAAATTAAAGTTAACGGTACAAATGCTTCGCCATCACTGGCCATGATGGTGAAGTATGGTGAAACAACCTCAAATCGGGACAAGTCATTGACTTGTGAAGTGGATGGTCCTTTAGTATAATTACACACATATATGGCTTTTCATCAAGGAGCTCAAAGCGCAGTCTAGGACACAGCAGCAGCAGCAGACACTAATCATAAAATAATATAAATATATATTTTAAAAATTTTACTAAAAGAACTAAAAATGTAATAAGCGGAAGCATATAAATTATGTATATTACAATATGCTGTGCTTAAGACATTCACTCATCGACATATTCTGCTTGGCAAGAGACCGGTTTTACATCATATGTGCCCGTTAAATTTGCACCTTTGATTAGCACGGTTGGCTATGTATGGTGTGAAAGAAGTTCAACATTATGCCAACGAATACACCATAGGTGCCACTACAGTAGATATTTTCGTACAATACTGCACGCACACCATGTCCACAGAACGCTCAGCCTTTGAGCATTATGAAAACAACCATCAAAGGTTCCTGAATAACTGCACTGTGGTCCTCTGGTCTTAATGTCACCCATCAAATACATTTGAGAAAAGTGACCCGACTGGCAAACAGCAGCAGTGAGACCGAGATGCAGCTATAGACCGGTGTCAGCCTTATTAGACCTCATGGGTACAATGAAGTCACAAATTGTTCTGGTGCTAATGGCGCTTGAATGTTTTTTTTTTCTCCCCGTCCTTTGTTTCCAGAGAAGCGTTGGGCCTCTGCGTGTCTGCCTGGAGGAGGATGGGACAGAGGTGGTGGATGAGGAGTATTTTTCTGTGCTTGACAGGAATACCTGCCTGGTCATTTTAAAACGTAATGAGCGTTGGACAGGAGGTGAGTGTACCCAGCACACACCATACATAACATACACACAGACACGGGAGGTTTGCAATTCATTTTTATTAGACCTTTGGCAAACATAACGGGTTCAACATACAAAGCGTCTATCTTAGGTTGAACAACTATTTGGTGATGCTGCTGCAAGTTGGCAGTAGCTACACAAGTACAACAACAAAAAACCGAAACACTCTTCATGAACACTGCCTTGAAAGAAAATACAGTAAAGGCCCTCGTGTTAGCGTTTTAATCCGTTCCACGAAAACTACTGTTGACTCATACTCTTTGGTTCTTTCGGTAAGTCACGTAGGTAGAAATAAAAGACGATGGCTTGTGTTGCTATCGAAACGTGGTGATTTATTGTGTTTTATTTCTACCTACGTGACTTACCGAAAGAACCAAAGAGTATGGATACCTGCAGTCACGAAAGCTTCAAATCAAGACTGTTAACTTAAATAACACTTCATCGAATTCACTTGTAAGTTGAAAAATACGTTTTAAAAAATAACTGAGTCTGCAAGAGAGCTGTTTCCACTGCCAAGACAAACAACGTAATGTAAACAAAGCCAATCGAGGTATAAACGCTCATAAATGGACATCGCTGATTGGCTGAGGCATGCACAACTCCACTTAGGAGCGCTCTGATTGGCCGAAATTGGTGCCCGCGTGCATAACGTAAACGTACCGTTATTCACATTTCTAACGTTAGTCGAAACCATGGGAGGCGAAACGTTAACCGAAAAACCGTGAACCGATGTCACTGTTAACTGTACTGTATAGACAGTCATCGACTTACGAACACCCGACTTACGAACACCCAGAAAAACTAACCGGCTTCTATATAATTTATTTTAACATCAACTTAAAACGTAAACTCGGACTTTCAAACTGAACCGCGGAACTATTTTGTGCAGCGGAGCGATCCTCCGCGAGGTGTCATAAGTCAGCCTCGTGCTGGGAGTGTTTGTGTGTGTGTGCGCGTGAGTGTGTGTGTGTCAAAGTGTTCACGTGTGAAAGTGTTCATGTGAAAGTGTGTGTGTGCGCGTCCCCTAGTGTATGTGTGTGTGTGGGGAGCGGTAGTGCAACGGTTAGTTCGCTGTGCTACTAACCTGGCGACCCGAGTTCGATTCCTGCTCACGACCAACACCAGTGACGATTATCTGAATGGGTCCTTAGCCTCCCCTGGGTTGACTCGGCCTCAAATGAGTACCTGGTGCGGTCTGTAAACATCACCACTGGAGAGTCAAAGGCGGGTCAGGCGTGATGCTGGCCACTCACCCCCTCGTGTGTCGTTCCGGCCTTCATAGGTACTTGATAACAGCACTTGCCCAACAGCCTGTTAAGGCTATATGTGGGATCTTTGTGTGTGGGTGTTCCGGCAAAAACAACCCCCTACCTACTTCCTTGGTAGTGCCGCTGTGGAGACTGAGCAATTTAATGTGTGCAAGGCCAATTCCAATCGGCTGTTCCTCTAATGGCGCTCGTAGCCACCACAGTGGCCAATGGGGGCTCTGAACGGGTGCGAGGAGCTGGTAACGCCTCCACCTTCAATTGCCACTAAAACACGTGATAAAAATATAACTAAGCTTGTGCCGGAGACCCCGGACGAACAGGTGTCTATGACGGCTACTGGCCAAACCCTAATTGGCAGAGCCAGGAGACTGAACCCAAAAATGACGTAACATGACGCCGGTGACATCATCATTGTTGGCATGAGATGTAAATGATCAAACAAAATCTGAAAATCCCCCCAAAAATCTGATATAATTTATAAAAATCGTAAATGTGATTTTTATTTTCATCCGGAACTCTTTTGTAAGGGCGACCTGCCTTGTAAAATTGAGTCTCTTCAGACCTGCATCTAACAGCTGTGCATTGTGGTTTTTTTGTGCCTCAGTGGGTGTGCATGCCGTGTCTCATGCAATGGTTCATTTTGAAAGATGCACACGCGACGTGCTTGAAATTTTTCGGAAAGATCCTAATGGAAAGTACAGAAATATCTTAAAGAATTTTCTGAATTCCATTGAAGACTGCTCGGAAAGGGAATCTCGGCAAGATGACCCGAAGTGGTTTGAAGGTGGGTGCCATTGTGTGCACTTGTGAATTCAAACAGAATTCCCACGATGATATCACTCTACTACTCACCCCTCCTATCACGGCAACTGTGGTGTCGACTAAAGGTCAAAGGAGCTGCGCTGTCCGAGGTGCTGTCTCCCGAGGGAGGCCCAGATAGTCGAGGTGGTTACACCGCTACTGGTCTGGCAAAGCTTGGGGGGTGAACAGCGGCGGTTGAAGATGGACGAGCTCCCTTAGTGGCAGGGGCGTCACTGTGGTCAGTGAGCGTCTGATGAGAATGAGGTTGAGGGCAATATTTTGGGTGCCCCTTGTCACTGTCTATGCTCTTCACCGAGGTCGGTGATCTTGAGGAAAAGTAAACCTATGCTATGCTCCACCCGCCCCCCACCCCAGAAGCCCTTCAGGACTGCCTTTGAGATGTGTCTCAAACCACTGTGGGTCAGGGACCAAGGATAATAATGCAGCCTCGCTTTTAGACTTTGCAATGTCCAGGCAGCTGAGAATTGCAGGGTTCATTTGTTCCAATGGCCTGATCTGCATCCGGCAGTGCAGAGAAGGACATCGATAACATTCTCGTGGGTGCCCACCGGAAGCTCTTGCACACTTGCAAGGTCTTCAGGAGTGCGGCTTTTACTACATCGTAGGCTGCTCATAGCAAACCCCAAGGTTCCCCTAAAAGTACCGGAGGATCGCATGAGCCACCACCATGCGTTAAACAAGTGTTGTATAATGCTGCCGTGTGGGGCTACGTTGCCAGCAGAGGGCAGCGCAGGAGAAAAAAGCCCAGCACCACGAAGTATGGTAAAAAAACGCCATGTGGGAGGAGGCTCTCATAACGCAGTGGATTGACAATATAATATCACCGTTATCTTCCTCACCTGGTATGCAGGTCGGGGGTTCAATCCAGACCCTGGTGCCTGTATATTTAGAGTTTGCATGTTCTCCGTGTTCGCGTGGATTTGTTCTCCGGGTCCTCTGGTGTTTCCCTCCACATTTAGAAACATGCACTGAGATTATTTAGATTATTTTGCTGCTATAAATGTCCAAACGATGGGCCACTTTGTTGAGCTATCATTTGTAGCCAGGTCGCTTCTGAAATCAGTTAATACCTCAGTGGCTTTTTCTAATAGAGTGGGGAGGGTTTCAGTTTTATTTGTATGTATGTGTTTGGGTAACTTGTTTACCTTTCTTGTACTTTGCACTCATATCACGTGGTGTTGTTGTGTTGTTTGTTGTTACAACGTTCATGCCCGCCCATACTGGACATCTGTGAAAAAGAGCTCAATAGCTCATCGAATTCCTCCAGTATAAATAAGTAATCTGATACTGTTATGTATGTCGTAATAAACACGTTTTAAAATCATGCTAAAAGCCACCTCTAATATGGCTGTTCGTGTACATTGTGTGTGTGTGCCCAGGTGTGGATAACCGCTTCAAGCATAAGCGGGAAGAGATGCGCTACCGCTGCAAAACGCGGATGCGGGGTTACTTAAGCGACGTACGTTCTTGAAAACGCTCACGAATGCAGAAACCTTGTTCTGATGGGAAAAATGGGGTTACGTTCATGGTACGAGTGAACGTAGGGGGACATTATAAATGCTTAATAAAATTTACTGGAAGAAGTAAATAAATAATATATTATAAAGAACTACATGGGTTTTTTGTTATTACCGATGATGATTTGATGACAATGGAGGTGGTGGTGATGGTGAGGATGAATCCACAGGAGATGCAGGTGTTTGATAACAATGCACAGTTATCATTTGAGCACTCTGGGGAGGTAGTGCTCGCCGCAACACTTTCCCTGATTGCATTCACATTCTTTTTAACGGAACTCACAGTCGACTCATTCATACCAAAATGTATAAACGAGTCGACTAAGTACGTATAAAGTAAAGAGACTGAGGACTAAGCGGGCAGCCGAGAGGGCTTTCTTAATCTTTTCAGACCGTTTCAAACGTAACAACATTCTGCACGCATCTCCCTGGTGCCGGTGGTCTGGCACTACGTAGACTCGCAAACACTGGAGCCCGGCGGGTCACGAATAGGGAATCAATATACATTTAGTGAATCCAGAACTCGCGTATAACCAGGGTTTAACTCCACATAGATGTCAAGGAGGACTCTACCACGTGGTTAACAAATGGCTTGTTATTTGAAGCCAGTTACGTGACTCGTGTGGCATAGAGTCCCAAGTGAGCCCCGATCTACCGTGGCCGATTCCTTATATCCCCAGCCTCATCACACCAGTGGTTCTCAAACTTATTTTGTCATCGGGCCACTCAGCCACCCAGCCCTGGTGAGAAAATGCATTCACTTATCACCAGTAATACAAAATAATTCATGTTACCAGAATGTTCTTTTTATACGCAGCTATGAGGTTGTTTTTTTTTCTTCTTAGGGTTAGGGTAGTTTGATCAGGGTAATTTACCAAACCGAAATTTTTCAATGAAATATTATCCAACCAACTCTCCCTTTTGTCCCTGAATTTCTTGCGCTTTGGTGTCCTTCAAACGGTTCCACCAATCGGCGCCTCCCGCTCACCGCTGCTAGTCCAGTGTGCGTGCGTGCTCCTGGGCAGCTGTTCGCATGAGTCGAAGCCCTCGGTCGAACGTCTCAGCCGTGGCGGCTTAACCAAGGGGGCAAAACTAAAGTGACCCGTTTGAACAGTTTATTGTGTATGCGACAACAGATGTAACTGAGGTGTGCTTAAGGCATGAGGATGTGTTCCAATTTTTTGGGATTAATCTGAAGATTCCAACTTTTGGGCCTTGATATGAATTTCCAGATGATTAGAATGTTTTTTTTTTATCCTAAAGATGATGTCGTGGCGTTTCAACACTTCCCAGGTGTCATGTCCATGCTTTCTCAATTTTTTTGTGAGACATGACACCACTTTAGCTTCAATCATTAAAATTCTACAATTGTGTGGATTAAAATAATTATTTTACCGATGAAATTGAATGTTACTTCTAATATATGTGACTAGCTTGTTAGCCCGTCCTAGGACAGAAGCTGTAATATTAAAGATGTAAAGTAACGTTTTATTGTGATTGTTAATTTTATTAGGAAACGGAGCACGTAAATACAATTTTCTTAACTTATTAAATTAAATTAAGCACTTTGGAAGATTTCTCGGTATACGATATTTTTCTGTGAATCTCTTATCACTGTTCGAAAGGTTTTTCCCTGCAGTTGGCTATCCTTGATGAACACTTTAATCCGCTGAGGATATTTTGATCAAGACAGAGCCACGTACAACTGGCCATGGGAAGATACGTTGTCCATTGCGATAAATGCACCACATTTTCAAGTCTGACCCTGCGGCTTGTTGATCGTCATCGCACACCCAAGAATTACGGGAATTTCTCGTTGTTTCAGTACGAAAGGAGTGACATCACTTGGAGCTTGGTCGGGTCTCGGGATGAAGACGTTTTGGCCTCGGTTGCAAAGGCGAACAACAATCTGTGTGGCTGTATAATTTGCAAAAAAACAACCCGTAACTTCACTTTAGCACTGTGTTTTCAAATCACCTGAAGCTGTTAACCGGACAAATTTATCTTCACCGACGGACGCTTGATAGCGAGGAGTCCTGATACTGTCTGAAGTGACTTAGCAAATAACGAAGACCAAAGAGAAGCATTATGAGTTACGAATAAATTGATCAGAGTATAATTGGATCTTGTCTAAATGTATTGGCAGGGAATATTGGAAAAACGAATGTCATCAAACACTTCACTGCATTTCGCCGTAGGACTCTATTAATGGCAGTGAATGTTGCACAAAAGGAAGTCTTAAAACACCTCAGCATTTGACCGCAGCACTGCATTAATAGTAGTGGTTGTTGCACGCAACTATATCATAAAACACCTGATGTCACAGTAGCATTGTTTTTTTTAACGGGCGTTCAATGACTTGCAATCTACCACTCTGATACTCGCTTATCTTCCGCTTTTGCTCGCTGGCGTTGAAAACAATTGGGAGTTCGATACAATGTCTGCACAGTAGCAGAGAAATGTTTATTTGTAGCATAATTTGGAAGCGTAAAGTAGACTTTGCCTTGCCGAAGAAATAAATAAAGGCACGAAATGCACTGCGATGCGGCGTATAATTATTTATTGCCTTCACTTTCTGTTAAGATACCAAAAAAAAATCTAAAGCGACTTTGCGCAAACAAATTATCATAGCCGCTCGACCTTGTGCGTTAGTCAAAAGCGAAATTGCGTAAACAAATTTTCGTGTCCGCTCCACCTTAATGCGGAGTGACGTCACCTGTTCATGATTATTAATGACGGGGGGGGAAGTCCATGCGGAGTGACGTCACCTGTTCATGATTATTAATGACGGGAGGGGGAAGTCCATGTGGAGTGACATCACCTGTTCATGATTATTAATGACGGGGGGGGAAGTCCATGTGGAGTGACGTCACCTGTTCATGATTATTAATGACGGGGAGGGGGAAGTCCATGCGGAGTGACGTCACCTGTTCATGATTATTAATGACGGGGGGGGAAGTCCATGCGGAGTGACGTCACCTGTTCATGGTTATTAATGACGGGGTGGGAAGTCCATGTGGAGTGACGTCACCTGTTCATGATTATTAATGACGGGGGGGAGTCCATGCGGAGTGACGTCACCTGTTCATGATTATTAATGAGTGGAGCTGGTCGACGTGGAGTGACGTCATGCGCGTTACACAGACATTCTTGGCTCATTAGTAATTATTAATATTTAACGGTATTGCGTTATGTTTAGGACATAAACAATAAGAGTCATTGAAAGCTTAATAATTTAAATCCAAAAATGAATATAACATATCCCACATTGGACCTTCAAATCAAGAAATCCAATGTAAAAAAAACATAGGTCGAAACACTCATCCGTGATGGGTACATATATTTCATGCATCCGTAGTGTGCTTCATAACATCTTGCAATGTCTACTGATAAAACCCACGGCAAACCCAGTATTGCGTTTATCACTAACCTCCAATTTTGAGGTTCTTTCAAAGTTAACAGTGTTTTTACTTCCTTTCGATTTTCCATTTTTCTCGAGAGGCCGATGAGAAAATAATAAGTCTGTAAGGATAAAATCGTCAGAAATATTAAATTAACTAACAAGCATAATTACAAATAAGACTTTTCAACTTACAGTGAACATGCATGTAACAGTTAACCGACCCGCCAATGATCCAGTGCATTGTCACGATTTGGGATCAATATGAATTTTTAAAAAAAAATTATGTTAGTTTCATCGGAACCATCCCATTAGATTTACAATAAGGTCCCGTGTACTCCCGTGAGTATTTCTTTCTGGGTCCTCGGGTTTTCCCTCCACATTTATAAACGTGTAATCTAGAGTATTTGCCTGCTATAAATTTCCACTTGAGAAGCCACTTGAGCTGTCATTTGTAGCCACTTTACTTCTGAAACAGAGCTATATAGCTCAGTGGGCCTTACCTGGTAAAATAAAAATAATAATAATACTATGAATGTGTATCCTCCAGTTAGTAGAGCGGCAAGTCGGGTGAAGTGTGGGTGCTCCAACCTGTCGTCTGTCTGATCAGCGTGGATCCGAGGACAAACGTGTACCCCTCTAAAGCCCCCTCTGGTGAAGGCCCTTCCATTAATAGTGGGGTGTTATCAAGCAATTGCAGGGCTGCGCCTTTACCTTTTACACAAAATATAAAATATTGTATTTATGAGCGTAGGAATCAACAATATGTCAAGTAATTATTACATGCCATAGCGCTTAAGGAAAACAAGGCAAAAGAATATATATGGCCATATCAAACAGTGTAATTATCAACAGTGGCATATAATTACAGCAAGTTCATGGATAAGGCAAGTTCTTATCTCATTGTCGGTGAAATATTGCAGTGAATATCGGTGGCTAAGGGAAGTAAATTGTGTTGCAAATCAAGCATAACTATAATTAGCATTGTGATGGTTTAGCGGTGCGCTGGTGGCTATGCTTACGAATTATTATAACTGTAACTTTGGAAAAAAAAGTGCAGTGTTTGCAATGGAATGTTTTTGTTTAACGTTATTTCTTTTTTTTGCTTCTAAGGCAGTCGCGTATAAAAAGAAAGTTCCACTGGAGCACCAGAAGAGATACGAGGAACTGCTTCAGCTGTTAAGGAATGAGTTGAAGACGGAATGCTTCAATGAGGATTACTTTGATAGGTCTGCTGCTGTGGTAGTCCGTTTGTGTGACAACAATGGACAATTCTCTTGCCAGGTGCGTGGCATTTTTTTTATTTAAAGCTTTCGTTACTGCAGTAATTTAATATTCTTATTTCTTTCGGTAAAGTCACCACGCTGAAGGGAAACAATAAACTAATAAAATACATATAAAACAATAAAAAAATTCTCACGACGTTTCGACCACAACACAACCGAAACGTCGTGAGAATTTTTTATTGTTTTATATATTTTATTAGTTTATTGTTTTCCTTCAGCGTGACTTTACCGAAAGAGCTAAGAATATAGGTGCGTGGCAGTCTCCTCTTACTTAGCTACATGACTGTTAATTATTTGCATTATATCACCATAGTAATATATCGATAACGGGATGACTAATCATGTAATTGCAGTTATTGGAAACTGTGTAATAAATGCAGTGCTCGAGTTTTAGGAAGCAGGGAATATCAGAAAAAGTTGCCCAGATGACATTAAGGCCTTGAAATCACTGCCATATGAAGGCATGTTTCATGCACATATACCCAACAATGACCCACAGAGATGCAGTAGTGTGCCAAATGTCCAGTGGACAGGTCGCTACTGAAGAATAAGTTCATACCTCACTGGGCTTTGCTTGGTAGGATGGGGATAGTTTAGTTGTATGCGTTTGGGTGATTTGTTTACCATTCTTGTACTTCAATCGTGTGTTTGTATTGTTTGTAAGGGCAAAGCACACTGCTTAATAAAATGGGAAAAGTCCGTGCAATGGGGTGGGTAAGAGGAACATGGATGAGAAGATGATAGATGAGAAGATTGTGGATGAGATGGTGGATGAGGAGGTGATCAGATAGCTTATGGATGAGATGGCAGGTAAGAAGATGATAGATGAGAAGATTATGGATGAGATGGTGGATGAGGAGGTGATCAGATAGCTTATGGATGAGATGGCAGGTAAGAAGATGATAGATGAGAAGATTGTGGATGAGATGGTGGATGAGGAGGTGATCAGATAGCTTATGGATGAGATGGCAGGTAAGAAGATGATAGATGAGAAGATTGTGGATGAGATGGTGGATGAGGAGGTGATCAGATAGCTTATGGATGAGATGGCAGGTAAGAAGATGATAGATGAGATGGTAGATGAGAATATAGTAGATGAGAAGATGGTAGATTGGAAAATATATAAGAAGATGGATGAGTCTTCTTTGGTTCTTTCGGTAAAGTCACGTAGAATGAGAATAAAATAATAAATTGATAAAATAACGCAGTAATATTCTCACGACGTTTCGTGACTTTACCGAAAGAACCAAAGAAGATGAATCCTTGCAGTTACGAAAGCTTTAAATCGAATTTTTAAGATGGATGAGAATACGATAGGTAGTTAACAATGGGAGTATGAGAGCAGAAAACACAAACTGTAGCTCTCGGGAGCCATAATGTACGATAGAGTCAAAAGCATTAAAACAAGTGGAAGTATGTTATTACACAGACCTAGATAGCAAACACAATATCTTTCACCACAGGAGGAATATAATTTCCCAGAATGTTTTTTTCCAGATGTCACTAAAGAAGAAATCAATGCCGCCTTTTGGTGGTATGAACAATGCCAAGATGAATTACTGCTCATGGTCAAATCAAATACTGGAGGACGAGATTACCCATATTTGATCGGAGGTGGTCTAATTTTTCTCCACATTTTCAGGGTGCATATAATAAACAGGACTGTCAATATCAGCACAAGATAAACCCATACGCCAACTGGGAGAGCAGAATACAATTCAGCGTCTGGAACCTAGACCACCGGTATGTCCTTGCACCCACCCATAACAGTACCTTTATTGCTCGCATTCGCTTCAACAAAATACTATTGCGAGTCGGAGAAGTAGTGACCGTGTGTCGTGACCACGTGAGAGGAATTGTGCGTACAGATGCAGGACAGGAGCACGTCAGTGGCGCCGGTAGCTTATGAAGCAGATTATATTCGATGGTGTCAGCGACTGGGAAATAAGTAAGTCCTACGGGGAGAAAAGATTGAGAGAACGTGATAAAATGGTGCATGCAACCCATATTGGTCATCATTATGGGCACCATGTTGAGTGCAATTGTTTGATAGTGTAGTGCGATTGGCCCTTTTCAAGATTTTAAATAGTGGAGGTTTTTCAAAGTGTGAAAAGTGTTTGGAGTAAAGTATTAATACCTTCAAACTTATGGTAGTGGTGTATGGGTAGTAAAACAATACCAAGGGTTATAGAGGGGCGACTTCCAAATGGAAGTCTCGCAAGATGCAAACAGGTGAAGGCGACTCTGCAATAATGTGGAATCAATAGATGCAAGGAAGAAGTTACATGCGCAGTTGATGGATTAAGAGTTGTGGCACAGAGATTATGGATAAAACAGACTTCCAGTTTACCAGCATGCTTTTTACTAAGGGTCTGTAGTCTACCGGCAAATAAGTAACTGAATGTTTAACAAGTAAATACATCTTTCATCTGAAGGCAGGTTGACTGAAACAGTGAATGGTCTTGTATAAGGGCTGAAGATTGAAATTTTCAGTTAACATTGTTAATAATTAGGAATCAAATTTGGTGTTAATAGTGGGATTTATACGTTTTAGTGAGATTCCCATATCTACAGACATTTATTTTTACCTGTTATTCATCTGAGGCCTATATAAATAAGTATTTATTTGAAATCTGTGGCTATCTTTACGAGGGGCAGAAGTCGCACAGTTTCAGAGCAGCAACCTCATATAATGCATGAGAGGGTAGACGGATCTAGAAAGGGATCTGAAGAGGTTCGGTGAGATAAAACACGTGCAGGACAGAGACATTTCAGAGGACTAGGGTATTGTCAGTGAAAGCTGAGGATAAAGGAATATTAAGCCTAATAAGATCGTGTCCGTTGAAGCATGACGATTAATTAGAGAAGATTAATATGGCAATACAAATTAATAGGAGTTGATATTTTGTAGAAAATCACAAATCAGGAAGCAAACAGAAGTTAGTGATTGCTATTACAGTGAGGGAAAAAAGTATTTGATCCCCTGCTGATTTTGTACGTTTGCCCACTGACAAATAAATTATCAGTCTATAATTTTAATGGTAGGTTTATTTGAACAGTGAGAGACAGAATAACAACAAAAAAATCCAGAAAAACGCATGTCCAAAATGTTATAAATTGATTTGCATTTTAATTAGGGAAATAAGTATTTGAACCCTCTGCAAAACATGACTTAGTACCTTGTGGCAAAACCCTTGTTGGCAATCAGAGGTCAGACGTTTCTTGTAGTTGGCCACCAGGTTTGCACACATCTCAGGAGGGATTTTGTCCCACTCCTCTTTGCAGATCTTCTCCAAGTCATTAAGGTTTCGAGGCTGACGTTTGGCAACTCGAACCTTCAGCTCCCTCCACATATTTTCTATGGGATTAAGGTCTGGAGACTGGCTAGACCACTCCAGAACCTTAATGTGCTTCTTCTTGAGCCACTCCTTTGTTGCCTTGGCCGTGTATTTTGGGTCATTGTCATGCTGGAATACCCATCCATGACCCATTTTCAATGCCCTGGCTGAGGGAAGGAGGTTCTCACCCAAGATTTGATGGTACATGGCCCCGTTCATCGTCCCTTTGATGCGGTGAAGTTGTCCTGTCCCCTTAGCAGAAAAACACCCCCAAAGCATAATGTTTTTACCTCCATGTTTGACAGTGGGGATGGTGTTCTTGGGGTCATAGGCAGCATTCCTCTTCCTCCAAACACGGCGAATTGAATTGATGCCAAAGAGCTCCATTTTGGTCTCATCTGACCACAATACTTTCACCCAGTTGTCCTCTGAATCATTCAGATGTTCATTGGCAAACTTCAGACGGGCATATATACGTGCTTTCTTGAGCAGGGGGACCTTGCGGGTGCTGTCGGATTTCAGTCCTTCACGGCATAGTGTGCCCCAGGCCGAGAGAGATTGACAGTTCTTTTGTGTTTCTTCCATTTGTGAATAATCGCACCAACTGTTGTCACCTTCTCACCAAGCTGCTTGGCAATGGTCTTGTAGCCCATTCCAGCCTTGTGTAGGTCTACAATCTTGTCCCTGACATCCTTGGAGAGCTCTTTGGTCTTGGCCATGGTGGAGAGTTTGAAATCTGATTTATTGATTACTTCTGTGGACAGGTGTCTTTTACTGGTAGGAAACGTAGTGGACTGGAAGCCCAACCGGGATTAATTCACAGGAGGCAGGGAATTAATTGTGTATGTCTGTGGATGTCTGTCCACGTGTATCCGGACACCCAGATATATAACAAATGCGCTCCTAGTGGGCATTACTGGCAGGAAACGTAGTGGACTGGAAGCCCAACCGGGATTAATTCACAGGAGGCAGGGGATTAATTGTGTATGTCTGTGGATGTCTGTCCACGTGTATCCGGACACCCGGATAAAATGGGATGGGTGGGGCTGGGTGGAGAGGGGAGGGTGGGGAGGGGCTGGGAGGGGCTGGGGAGGGTGGGGAGGGGCTGGGTGGGGAGAGGGGATTTCTTTAAACAAAAGGAAGGAGCAGCAATGGGCTCTCCTTTATCCCCTGCTATAGCAAATCTGTACATGGAAAACTTTGAAATAAGAGCACTTACCTCGAGCACATTAAAACCATCTTTTTGGTTTAGATATGTGGATGACACTTTGGTTGTCTGGCCACATGGTAAAGATACACTTAATGATTTTCTAAATCATCTCAATGCACAAAACCCAGCCATCCAGTTCACCATGGAAATGGAGGTGAATAACACACTCCCATTCCTAGATATTTTTCTTGGACATGGCCTAAACGGTAAAATAACACACAATGTTTACAGAAAACAAACGCACACTGATGCCTATCTGAATGCAGATTCGCATCATCATCCAGCTAAGAAATCCTCTCTTATCAAGACGCTCATACATCGGTCTAAAACAGTGTCAGATGGTGAAAGTCTAGTGAGAGAGATAAAACACGTTAAAGAAGCACTACGACAGAATGGCTACAATAATGCTCAAATGAACAGAGCACTGAATGCCAAATCACGATCCCAAAGCAATACTGCTGAAAGCGATCAGATTGTTAAAACAATTAAAATTCCATATATCTCAGGAGTAACTGACAAATTAGCCCGTGTTTTGCAAAAGCAAAACATTACAGTAAGATTTGGTACAGTACACAAAATTCAAAAACTAGTATCTTGCACTAAAGACGCATTACCTAAATTATCAACAGAAGGTGTATATCGGATTAATTATTTATGTGGCAGATGCCACATAAGACTAAAAGAACATCAAAGAAATATCAAATTATCTCAAACACAACTGTCGGCAGTGGCAGAACATGCTTGTCAACAAGGACACTCAATTGATTTTGATAACGTTGAAGTGTTGTGTAAAACTAATTATTACTGGCAAAGACTAATCAGATAATCCATTGAAATTGAGAGGAATAGAAATAACTTTAATCGCTCTGACAGCTACAGGCTTAGTGCGGCTTGGAAGCATATTATTAAATAATACATATTACAATTCCTTATAGGGGAAACATACGAATTAATGGATTTCTAACGTAGCATATAAACACAATAATACACATTACAACTAATTACTAATCTACAACTCATTACTAATCATAACCATTGACTGATTACCAATAGATTATATAATTACAATACCCCCCCCTCCGCCTCAAATCACTGCACCTGAATGAGTTAAATGATGACGTCACCCTGCTGCTCTATTTAAGACCGGGAGCAAGCGAGGGCTTTACCATTCTGACGAATTGCCCGATGATGCTGGATGTAATTACCAGCGAAACGTCGTACTCAAACTGTAAATGTTGTGGATTCACTCTTCAACACACCGGTGGGCTAAAGTAGTGAATTATTTGTCTTTTGTCAACGTGACACTTTTTGCTGATTGGCCGTGTCGTGTGGTGGAGGGTTAAGACACATTTATAAATAACGCGATCTAACCCAAAAACCTTTATTATGAATAATATTGGTCGCGAAAGCCTACGTGTTAAACTGAGGTAATCCCTGACTTACGATGGAGATGCGTTACGACGACCCCCCCATCGTAAGTCAAAAAAATCGTAAGTCGAAGATGGCCTAGCCTACCCAGGAGTCTCAAAGAATGGTGATAATTTAGCAAAACAGAGCAATTTACAGTACCGTACTGTATAAACTATATACTGTATGTATTTATTAATTACAATACTGTATTGCACAGTAAAATGTAAAGTAAAAAATAAGGTAAATTCTTAGCCTACCTATTTGAACTGCAATTTAATAGAAAGTTTTTTTCAGAAAACAATCCTATCTGCTATAAAAACTTTTAACATGCTTTGAAACACAAAAAACACAGAAAAAGATACACGCCCTAACACCGAGAAAACTTAACTCCGTCGACCGCTGGTGAGAGTGAGGCATCACCACAAAAGGCGGGAGACGCGTACATCCCGGCAGCGTCCCAAACGTACAAGTCTCGGACCTCTTACGCTGCTGCGTTTGCCTGCCGCGCGAAATTTAAAATCTTTTACAATTTTGTCGTATCACTATCGCCATCGTAAGATCGAAATATCGTAAGTCGGACCATCGTAACTCGGGGACTATCTGTGTATCCTATACTCAACGTGCAGTGCTGTTGTAATGCCCTGTGGTATTGTGTGGCCCACTGGATGTGCAGGATTGAGAAGTCCCGTGAGGTGCTGCCAAGCTTGAAGACTGCATTGGAAAAGTCAAACGGTCGACAGATCAACTGGAGATATTTTTATGGGCTTTTATTCACTCGGGAAAACCTTAAACTAGTAGACATTGTGTGTCACGACAAGACATGCCACAAACTCAAATGCAAAAAACTTAAATTTTACATGCAGTAAAATTATCTCATTTTGAGTCACGTGGGAGAAGGGTGGGGTGAGTTTTTTAGGAAGTGTGCGAATTTAAAGGGTACAAAAGAGAAATGACGGAGAAAAATTCGTGTGGACCTTATCTAGGATTTTATACAGTGCTTTTGTGAATGCGCTTTACAAAAATGGCTAATGGGGAAAAGGAATGGGGTTTGAGTGTTGGGGAGGGGAAGAGATGGCAAGGAAGGGCGATGATAGGGAAAGGGAGGGGCGAAGTTCGGAGAGAGAAGGCTGGTTAAGGTTTTAAGGACGAGGATAGGAAGTAGTAATACGCTATTGAAAAAAGACGAGTCTTAAGGGAGGAACGAAAAACGTGACTGAGCACAGGTAGGAAGGGCGTAGTGAGGGACCATAGAGATTGTGAACACAGGGACCTCATCAGAAATAAGAGAAGCGAGATAGGGTGGGGCAGAACCATGAAGCGATTTTTAAACAAGGGTGAGGAATTTGAATTAACAGCGGCAGTAGACGGGAAGCCAATGGAGTGTGGCAAGGAGAGCAGAGGAATGGGTGTGATGTGGAAGATTAAATATTATCCGGGCCGAGGCGTTTTGAATTTGCCGGCGAGGAGCAAAGGCGTAGGCAGTAAGACCAAGAAGAAGGGAATTAAAGTAGTCGAGACGAGAAAAGATGAGGGAATGGATGAGTGTGTTGGCAGCGGAAATTGAGATTAAGGGGGCGAATGTGAAGAGGTAAAAGCGGCATGGTTACGGTGGAGATATGTTTGGTTAAGGAGAGAGAGGAATCAAAGCTGACCCCAAGGTTTCGAGATTTGCCAGGTGGACAATCGGCAGCGCAAGCAACGATCGAGCATGATGTTGTCGAGCGCCGATGTCTTATTTGGCAGCCGTGCGATGAACATCGACACCTCTGTCACTGACGTTGGCGCCAGGGTCTCGAGTTTTGCATTGGTTCCATGTTGATCAAACTCAGATGGCAGACCGGGAGTATGCCTTGCGTTCAAGTTAAAAACCGCCGTCTTGATTGTCACTGTTTTATTGGCGAAGAATGTTGCAAGTGTGGTGCCGTGAATTCACTCGGACGACAACCGCCTTTCTTCCACGTCACTTTTATTTCCATCGTTCCGCACACACAGCGATTCTCCTCTTCGCCCTCCGCCAACTCGGACACTCTGATTCACCTCAGCACCGTCCGCTCATCCTCTTCCACACACAGTGGTTCTCTCTCTATGTCCTCACACACAGTGTCTCCGCTATCTCTTCACACGCAGTGACTTCCTCTATCTCCGCACACACAGTGACCTGTCTGTCTATTCACACAGAGTGACCTGTCTGTCTATTCGCACACAGTGACTCTATCTATCTCCGCACACACAGTGACTTGCCTGTCTATTCACACACAGTGACTATCTATCTCCGCACACACAGTGACTCTATCTGTAACTCTCCCTGTACCTATCTCCCCCGTAACTACCTCTCCGCTAACGCTAACTCTCCCTGTCGCTATTTACTGTCCTTTGGGTTCGGCTCTCAATCTATTCTTCCCTAACATTTGCCAGCTCTCCTCTTCGTATCTCTCCACCTCTCGCCAACAACTGCCCAACAACAACTCAACTCCCCGTTCAAATCACCTAGCGTTTTATCCCCTTTTCAATTAGCCTTAATTGCCACGTGGCTCGCTGGCATTTTCCCGCCAGCTCGCACCTGTCCAACGGCCAGACTTCGCGACGCCGCCACTTAACGCTAACAGCCTCTCGACCAATCACAGCCCTCGTGCCATGACTCCTTTAATTACTTCGGTTTGTTTACGCCACCCGTGACTCGACCACCTGCTCGACCTTATGTGATCCACTCTGCTTATATGTCTGTATGTACTGTATGTGGCTAATTTACCTATGCGTATCGTTTACTCCACTACACAAGTACTCTGCACAGATCGGGTTGACTTCACGATGCGCCACAGAGCACGGGGGTCGCGAGCCGACTCATTGACGCTCAGAGCATAGGATGATCTGCGAGACTGCAAGCGACTCTGTAAGCGAGTCGGACAGTCAGGCTGGAAAGCAGTTTTCTTCCAAAGACGCTCCAGCCTTCGCCGGTTCTGTTTTGCAGCGATTGCCTCCGGTGGCAGCCAGTTGCCACACGTGTTCCCCGTTCTCTTTGTGCTTGTTGATCGCATGGGCACAAGTTAATCAAAAACAGCATTGATGGCATTTTATAATTTAGCTGCAAATGAAACGACCGTCGATGCAGGATTTAGACACACTGATGACCAGAACTTCTTATGGAAAGCATCGTGGTCCAGTCGTTTCCATTCTTGCGTATGATATATTTGTGACAGGTTGGCGAATAATCGGTAATGCCACTTTTCACATCACGGGACTGATCTGAAATACCTATGTAATTTCTTCGGTCAGACATAAGAGATCGAAATAATGTGTTGGACTAAAGAAATTGTGTGGGGAAGCAGTGGTGGTTCACCATTGATGACTAGTTGTAAACTTTACACTGGCTTAGGAGAAAAGGGAAATATAAAAAAACATTCAAAACGTAAACAAAAGGGAGACAATTTCTACAGGTTTAAAGAGATCTATTCGAGAAGGGAAATAGTTGTGCCAGTTGGAGGTGAAGTACAATGAAACAATATGAACAGAAGCAGCTGAGGTTTGTGGGAATGGGTGGAACACGGTATTAATTGAGGTTAGCAAGGGAAAAGGGATAGCAGTCATGAAGGAGGAGTAGAGGAAAAGGAATAATAGAGTGGGGATATGCCACGAAGGTATACAAAATGAAGGAAGCATGGCAATGGTATGGCACGCTGGGAAGACTATACATATATATATCTGCCTGAAGTGGCCGCCTTGTCAAGAACTGTGTCGCCTCTGGAAGTCGAGGTGGCGAACGTTGCTTCTCTGTTGCGGCTCTGCCCACCTGGGAATTCACTCCCCCCCCCCCCCCCCCTCATCTTTCACTGCACTGCACGTCAGCGTTCAGTGTCGACCTTTAGTCAGAATTTTAAGACTTTTATTTGTCCTCCCGCAACTCTGTCCTTTTAAAGTTCAATGTATGTGCATTACAGATTGAGTAATAATACAGGCAGACCTCGCTTAGCGCTCAAGATACGTTCCTGGAGAAGTGAGCGCGAATCGAATCGGAGCTAAAAGGGGTCATTATACTATTGTGTATGTGGGGATGCGTTCCCGACAGTTATTTCATACGTATGAGCAATGTGAGAGCTTCATTGGGGTATCGGTAACGGTGATAATAATACAAATGGTGAACATTTTTATGAATATATTTTTATAACATAAGTATTATGTAAAGCAAACCATTATGTAAAACAAACCATTATGTAAAACAAACCATTGCCCATCAAGTGGGTTTCGTTCTTGGAAAGTAAATACGTGATCCGCAAACTTAAAGGCATATGGGAAAACTTGGGGGTTGGCTCACGGTTCTTAAGACAAAAACCCCATCCTGTTTCATGTTACCCTGCATCAACCCAAACATTAAACAGGAAGTATTTTGAATGAGCAAAACATAATGGTGGACTACAGGAAGAATAATCATGGGTGGCTGGGAACACATGACCTTGGACCCGTGATGGGCCGCTTGGGAAACAATGTGGGACAAGATGGCACGTATAGAAATAGGTTTTACCCTTTTAACTGGCACAAAAACTGACACCTTTATTCAAGGCATCATGTTTGCAATAAGATGGCACGTGTATACTCTTTAGTGGCAACTTCGTCGCAAGCAGTGCAAAAAGCTCACAAAAAACACCAGAAAGGTGGAATAACAACACATCGGCGGGCGGGTGTGTTTTGTAAAAAAAACTGGCGAGTGCCGTGTGGCTCAGAACGTACTGTAATAACATTGCGTAATAATGTAACAAAGAAAAACACATTTTAAAATGTAATTGTCGCCACAAATTGTGATAATCGAATCGCGGTGGTTGCTTGACTGAGCGTGCACGTCGCTTTCCTTGGCTGAGCGAATGTTGACAAGGATGGCGGCAGGCGCTGTGTGTTGTGAAGTTTGACGGTTTTTTTTGGTAAAGTTTTTCTCCAGGACAAGCACTATAACGAATTGGCATTCTACGGTGTCACGCTAAGCAAGGTCTGTCTGTAATTCAATGTATAAAGCGCCTTTCATCGAGAATCTCAAAGACACAGCGGCAAACGCTGAGCACAAAAATACTTCATGAAACAAATATAAATAAATGCCAAAAGGGCATTTTATTAACAAAAAAAGTTTTTTTAAGATGTTTACGGACTCGAGAGATCCTGAGAGCTCGTGAAAGAGAGTTCCAGAGTCTAGGGGCCATGTGAAAAGAAGCGCGATCGACCAAAGCCTCTGACCCGGGAACGAAAATCTGCATCCCCAGATCTTAGGAGCCTTGAAGGGACATATGGGTGCAGTGTGTCTCTAACATATGCTTTGTAGGTTAGCACTAGGATTGTAGACTGAATCCTCTGTGAAACTGGAAGCTAGTGCAGAAAGGCCAACATAGGCGTATGCAATCTAAAGGAGGTGTTCTGATTAACACCCGAGCAGCCGCATTTTGAACACGCTGCAGATTGTTAAGCACCTTCTTAGCCATGCCAGGGAGGAGCAAGGCTTTGCAAGAGTCGATGCGAGATGAAATTAAGGCACGGACCAGCTTATCCGCATCTGAAGCAGAGATAAGGGACCAGGTACGGAAGGGATCGGTTCATGAGTAATGACTGAAAATGAGAAATGTTGAGGTATGGTGGTTATACAGAACAATTAAGCATCACAGGTGGTGACGAATGAATATGGTATCGGGAAGAGGTGAAGGAATACTTTGGAGCACTTATACATGACTGTGTATAATGAAAGGCAGGTTGGAGAGGAGACTAAAACAAGGGACTAAAAGGTGTTGGGAGAATAGCCATGAGAAAACACTAATTGGAAAACGCTGTGGCCCATCATAAGTATCAGTCGCGATTACAAAAGCAATGGGAGATGAAAGACTTTGTCTTACCATGTGACCTATGAAGGACATTTTTCCAAGAAGATAATGTACGTAACGATTGCAAGTGAAGTGTAGAAGTGCCTTTATATAAACAGAAAAAGGATGCAAATAATAGTGGGGACTATTCAGAGCATCTGTTGAAATATACTGTAGAGACAGTAGAGCAAAGGTAAAATGTTATAAATTAGTAAAATGCATTCCGTTTGTATACCAGGGGAGATCAGCGATGCCACTTTAATAATTAATTATAATACTTTCAGCGTAGATTTTTAGGTGAGAACTGGAAATTGTATTTTCGTAAAGAGAATATTTGGATGTGTACAGGGTTCATGACCATTCAAAAGTTGGAAATATACAAAATAGGAAAATACAAGCAAAACAATTGAGTTTAAACGGGTCTATTAAACATTCAACAATGGAAGAACTTGATAACTATATGAATTGTTTTAAATGTTACGTCATCACATGGCCTGCACTGTATTCCTAGATGTCCACAGCAATGTCAGTAGTTCATGTGTATATGTATAATACATATATTAGCATATCGCCACCACTATTTTGCCTATTATCCCCAAACTCACATTTAATATTTCTCTATCTGCCTGATGTCCCCGTCACAAACTAATACATATCCGCCACTCCATTCGTTCTCCTATCGCCCTCAGCGAAACCTCACGCCCCCCACTTTTCCCTAATTCCTGAGTCTTCCCCAACCGACCGACCATTCACACTTTGCCTATTTGTAGTGTAACAGCGCCGGCTGGTGGACAGCAGCGGCAACTGTGGTGGACAGACTACGCACGCCCCTGAGGGCGTGCACGGTGTGTGGGCAGAGGGGAGGAACTAGGGTAATGGTCACAGAGGACCCCATTTGGAGGCCCCTGGAACCTGCTAGCGGGTTCGAGAAGGGAGGCCGAGAGCGGGGGAGCTCGAGGCTGCCGGTTCTGGGAGTGGACTCGTCTCGTCGTCGCTGTCTCGTCACTAAACGTCTCCGCTAGATGTTGCGCTGCGAAGGAGAGCAGTTGGCTCTCTCAGTTGGCGTCGTCAGTGTTAGTGTAATAATGTACAGGCTGGGCTGAGCTACTGTGGAGAGTGTGGGGACGAGACCGTGAAAGTTATTAATAAAGAAAGTGCCTCCGAGAAACTCTGTCTCTGAATCGTTGACACTACATATTCAACGCACAATCTGTTTGTAATAAACCTCCAGCCACCCTCGATGCCTTTCTTTCTTTACACCTCAAGGTCCTTGCTCTCACCGAGACCTGGATCTCGCCGCCCACTCAACACTGCCACCCCCCGCCGCCCTTTCCTCTTCACTTCATTCTTCCATACCCCCTCCCCCCACCGTCCAGTTGGCATAGGTGGTGGTTTTGTCCTCACCACCCTCCCTCGTGGATCCCTGCCCCCACCTCCCTGTGACTACGTAATTTTCTTCTTTTGATTTCAACCCCTGCAGCATCACCTCATTATTTACCCCCCCCCCCCGGCCCCCATTCTTTAACCACCATAACTGCCTCTTTTTTTCTATCCCCCCCTCTCCCATCCCTTTTTTTCTCCTTGGTGATTTCAACATACACCTTAGCAGCCCCGCCCCCACCCCTCCCTATTGCCTCTGCCCTACGAATCAACTCGTTTGGCCTTCACCTGCTTTCATCCCCCCCCAAACCTACTAATATGGCAGTATCCTGGACCGTATCTTCCTTTGAGACTGTTAATGCATTACCTATCTAGACTCAGTCCCCCCCCCGCCCCCTCCACAGATTCCTCCTCATACTTTATATATTGCCTTTATTGCTACAAGTAGTCGATGTGCTTTGGCAGTTCTTTTTCTGCATTTTTCTACGAGTATTGCAGAATTTCAATTACTGCCCAAGGTGCCAGCAGCCCCTGCAATACAATTTACCTCAGGTCTTTTGTCATGTACATTTGTATATTCTTTGGGTCTTTCGGTAAAGCCACGTAGATAGAAAAAAATCATCAAAATAATAACAATATCACAACGTTTCGATCGCAACACAAGCAATCGTCTTCAGGTGAAAAAAGAGGGGGAAATTTGCCGAGGCAGGCTATTTATAAAGGTTTAGAGATGGGCGGGGCAGCTAATGTTAATGTAGGAGAGGTCTCCGACACCGGCAGTAAGTCTACACCAATCAAAGAGCTGTTTATAAAGGTTTAGAGATGGGCGGGGCAGCTAATGTTAATGTAGGCGAGGTCTCCGACACCGGCAGTAGGTCTACACCAATCAAAGAGCTGTTTATAAAGGTTTAGAGATGGGCGGGGCAGCTAATGTTAATGTAGGAGAGGTCTCCGACACCGGCAGTAGGTCTACACCAATCAAAGAGCTGTTTATAAAGGTTTAGAGATGGGCGGGGCAGCTAATGTTAATGTAGGCGAGGTCTCCGACACCGGCAGTAGGTCTACACCAATCAAAGAGCTGTTTATAAAGGTTTAGAGATGGGCGGGGCAGCTAAAGCCAATGTAGGGGAGGTACTACGGAGCTGTGGGGGGTGGCCATTGTATTGTGAGAGATTAGCATGTCAATGTAAGACAGCGCAGTGGCCACATGGGGGTGGAAAAGAATGGCAAGCCGCCATTTATTAACACAGCTAACGGTGGCTGTGTTAGTGAATGTAACTCATAGAGAGTCGAAAATAACTGCTAGATAGGATAGGAACATCACAACCAGTTATGACCTAAACTGGTGAAAACGTCCTTCCAATGATTGCTCAGTTTGTACCCATCTTGGTTGAAATTGTGTCTGTGTTTATATATATGAATGGCTTCACGAACAAATCTTTGTTGATAGCCAGTGGGTTTGCAGAGTACCTTCATCTTGGCAAAATAAATTTCGTGTTAAAATAATGATCAGCCACGGCTGAGGTATTGATCCTGGTAAATAAATACCGTGGAAAATATTTTGGCGAAGGGTATTTACCAAACAAATAAAGTGCATCGTGACTCATGGCAAGATGTCGACTGGAATTTCTGTTACGACATCAAATTTCCATGTAAGTGGGAAACATTTTCCAAGATGCGCAAGATAGCCACAGTGACATTAAACCATTTTTTGACCTGTGATACATACATTGTTTTTTTTTTGCCAAGTAATTTAGCCATCTCACTCGTCTATGTAAACTGCTGTACTCTATTGTATCTACCACAGATTTTCCTCATATCCAATCGTTCTGGACACATTAATTCTGCGAACTATATATCGCATCTACAAATACACAGTTGTGAGCGGTGAAATCACCAAAGTTGATGCACATATTGGAGCATCAAGATATGATGGAACTAAACCTTTTAACCAATCATAGATATTCGTAGTTTTCTTATTTGTCTCTCAGATAATCTTTACAACTACAGCTAGCACGCATTCTTAGGATTTATCATGCAACCAAAAGCATCACAACCGAGACATTCAGTTTTTATTTCGTAGTGTTTAAAATATCTTGTGCGAGACGTACAATTCATTAAAATGTAAAGAGAAAAAAACTGGTCACATTTCGATTATCGTCCCCTAATTGAACCGCCCTCATCGTCATCTTGGATAAAGAGAGCGTTTTAAACATAAAAACACCGAACTTTAATCCAGAGAAAAAAGAGAGATCTGAATTCCTAGGTGTGAAAGTAACATGTGGCAACTGTCAACATTAAAAAAAAAATATTATAGAATGGCAAGAAATTATATACTTAATATATTGGGTGTACTAAAATATACATGTAAGAATAACATAGCGAAAGCATATAATGTTAAAGCGTGATAAATAACAGCTTTTAGATTTAAAAGCTAAACATATAAAGTACATTTGTTGGTGTATACTCTTATTTAATGAATTGGCAGCGTGGCAGTTTTGCAATGGTTGGTGACAATGTTTTTATCCTGCCAAACCTTCGCAAAAACTTCCCTTCAGCAGACACTTGAATCGGACGCTTGATGCACATTACGCACACCGCGTACTCGTGTCCGCCAATGATTGTCATTATACATGTTCTTTAGATATATATTTAAAATGGATGAAAATTTGGCACTGGGCCCTGCTGCCTGAATCTGCCCTCATCTTTTCGTGTGATGGAACTGGCAAAGTCCACCTCTGGCTTTTTTTTGTTTAGATAAAAAATTGCAAAATGATGAGACGCGGAGACAACGTAGATTCTGATTAAACGCTGGGTCATCACCAAACCAGTTCTAAAGGGATGGACAAAAAAACCCTGAGCTTCCAGGTCTCCAAACTTGGAATTCACCACTGCCATTCAAACCACAAAACCCTACAAGTAATGTACATAAGCGTATCGTTTTTTTTTCGTGTCAATCTAGTCCACCGGAACATTAGGCAATGTCCTGTTCTTTTATTTACATCAAATAGAAACTGCATAGAAGTAGATGTCTACATGAATTACCGATGGAACGTGTGCAATCTCACAGTGAAACTGATTAAAACTCTCGTGAAGGCAAATCGTAATTAGTAATGGAACTCATCTTCTTGGTTCTTTCGGTAAAGTCACCACGTAGAATGGAAATAAAATAATGAAATAAAATAATACAATTCTCACGACGTTTCGGCCACAACACAAGTGGCCTTCTTCAGGTGAAGAAACAGGTCTATCAAGAAGACGGAACTTGAATGAACGCTGTCAAGGAAGGACCGCGTCTTTTGAAACTGTGCGGGCGGAGTTTGAACAGTTTCAAAAGACGCGGTCCTTGTTTTGTGTTCCCAGCCCCCTCCCTCCCTCCCTCGCTGCGGAGGTGGGGCTGGTGACATGCTCATTCAACTCCGTCCACACAGTTTCAAAATACGCAGTCCTTGCTTGACAGCGTTCATTCAAGTTCTGTCTTCTTGATAGACCCGTTTCTTCACCTGAAGAAGGCCACTTGTATTCTTAGTTTTTTCGGTAAAGTCACGTTGAAGGTAAACAACAAAATAATAAAATATATATAAAACAATAAAAAATTCTCACGACGTTTCGACCATAACTCAAACGGTCGTCTTCAGGTGACCGTTTGAGTTATGGTCGAAACGTCATGAGAATTTTTTTATTGTTTTATATATATTTTATTATTTTGTTGTTTACCTTCAACGTGACTTTACCGAAAAAACTAAGAATATGAATTACTGCAGTCACGAAAGCTTTAAATCAAAATTTAAGGCCACTTGTGTTGTGGCCGAAACGTCGTGAGAATTTTATTATTTTATTTCATTATTTTATTTCCATTGTACATGGTGGTGACTTTACCGAAAGAACCAAGAAGACGAATCCCTGCAGTCACGAAAGCTTTAAATCGAAAAGTAATGGAACTCGCCAACTGATTCCACAGTGAAGTGTAATACTGATTTTTTTAACTTTTTTACAAATTATGGAACCGTTCAATTAAAAAAAAAAATAATTGTTTAAGGCAATTTAGGGGATAGTCACTATTGCTTCATTTACTCTTGATGTGTAAGGCAACATAAGTGGTAAGTGCACTGGTAAAATATGGGTTATCATTTTATGGGTAATGCTCTGCCCTAAACACAAGTTGCCTTGAACGCCAATCAACTCATCCAAACCTCGAAAATTATATTAAAACCGTGGTGTGGCGATAACACGAGGGAACTTAAGAGGCATCATCACAGTGATGCACTCCGCTACTCCTGACAATTATCTGGCTCAACCACCTCAATGTAAAAGTTGCTCCTCGACATCAACATCGGCCATACGAGTAAGAAAAATCTCTTGAAATGTAACCGGTTGAAGCATTGGACGTGCATCCGTGCTTTCTTTCAATTGGCAGTCTCCCTGCTTAAGCGATGTTCTTGGCTGCACGAACAGACTTGGCAAATCTTCCATCTGCGCTGGTAACCTCATGCCCAATGATGAACAGCATTCACGTGTGTCATCAAGCTACACCAAGTGTGGCGTGTAGAGAAGTAATGTCTGCACACCTCAGTGTATAAATGCCATCTTTACACATTTTTCCGGTATAAGCCTTCTATCAAATGTGCTCTATTCTTCAACAGCAGTGTTTGGATAAGAGGAGTTCTTGATTAATGGCATGCATTGTTTTGCAATTAGAGTAGCTCCTCGGATTACAGCGACATCGGTGAACGGCTTTTCGGTTCACGTTTCGCCTCCCGTAGGACCCCATGGTTTCGACGAACCTAAAAATGTCGATTAATGACACGTTTCCGTTATGCACGCGGGTGCCGATTTCGGCCAATCGGAGCGCTCGTAAATGGGGCTGAGCCATGCCCTCTGCCAATCAGCGATGCCTATTTCTGAGCGTTTCGACCTGGCTTTGTTTTACATTACGTTGTCTTGTCTTGGCAGTGGAAACAGCTCTCTTGCAGACTCGACGATTTTTACTTCAGTTTCAACTCATAGGTGAATTAAGAGTAAACGCAATGCCCCCTAAAGTGAATTCGCAAAAGGAAACGAGTAGGAAAGTAATTCGCCTTATAAACTACGTTTTTAGGATCAAACAGGTCATCTTTTGATCATCTTGGAACGGATTAATGCTTTTAACATGTTTCCTATATTCAATTAACAGTTATTTCAGTTAACAATAGTTTTTGTGGATCGGATTAAAAACGTTAACCGAGGGACTACTGTAAGATGCCTGTTTATTGCAGTCTTTAAAAAACTTGTGGTTATTGTGATGAGGTGTAATAATGTAAAAAAAACAGTTTAATATCGGATGCGCAGATTAACAATGCATTTTGTAACAAAACACTATAATCTGCTGTAACAAATACATCGTTTCTAAACGTAACCTTCTGAAGATTTGCGCACGAGTCTTGGACGTTTGCGTTGGCAGGGAAGACCACAATGCAGGTGGTGGCGTAAACTCGGAAGGCCGCAGCAGCCATCAATCCAGATGCTTGTACTTTGTAAAGAGGTTGTACAATACTCGCAGGGTCGACTTCAGGTCGAGGTTCACCACATCTGCATTGGGTTGAGGGGCAAGCGTATGTCACAATAAATTGCAAGATGCAAATGTGGCAATATTCAACAATGGCGGAGGTAATGCAAATCGGGAGCAAGAAAGCAACTGATAACATGCTCCGTTAGCTGTTCGATTCCACGTGTCCGTGATGTTTGCAAATACTTACTCCGGAGACAAAACAACAGTTCGCGTGACCACAGGAAGGCCCATTTGGCAAAACTTCCCTTTTTTACATCAACAAAAAAAATAATCACCTCCAATGACTCAAACCACGGTCTGCAGTGACAGCGCTACAAAGCATCATCACATTTTGGCACCTTTCGTTTTTGCGCACTTGACACTGCCACGTTTATATTTTAGACCGAGAGGGGGAAATCACCTGAAACTACAAACGTCCTCTCCACACTCAGCTGTCACGTTCGATCACTAGTTTCCGCTCATCCCTCAAAACTCACTTGTGTTCCCCTAGCTCACCCCACGACCCCTGAATCCCACCCCCTCATAACCACCACAATCACTGTTCCCTCCTCGTATTCTCATTATATGGCCATCACTCATTTCCCGTTCATTCAATCCATTGATCATCATTTACTGTCATCAATTTCGCTTTCACCAAATTCAAGCATTACAGATTCGCCCATTGCCTCCTCTAATCTATTTCATTCACCTCATCTCCGCCATTACATGCGTACGTACCATTCTTAATTCTCTGTAAAGCGCCTCAGTTAAGACGCTATATAAATTACATTAAGATGAGAAAAATGCAACTTATATGTGGCCTTAAAAGAATCTTTCTTAACTGTTTACAAAATCAGAAGCAAAAAAAAACAGTGCTTGTAACGTCTCTAACATTTTAACAAGGACATTTTTTCTCAAGCGATGCATCTTCAAATTGTTTATTCTTCATGCCACCACTGACCCAGGCCGACCCCAACAGAAATGAGCCGCGTGCAACATCAGATGGCGCCACTCGACACGGCTGGTCCAGATGTCTTGTGAGCCCCAATGGTAATTATTTGAACCCCTTATTTTTTTTCCCTTTGCATATTCATTTCTGTGTTTAATAAAACCTTAAAAAATATGAAGTGTTAGATATTTTGAATTAAAGCTTTCGTGACTGCAGTAATTCATATTCTTAGCCCTTTCGGTAAAGTCACGTTGAAGGGAAACAATAAAATAATAAAATATATATAAAACAATAAAAATTCTCACGACGTTTCGACCATAACGCAAACGGTCATCATCAGGTGCCGTTGGTTTTTCACACCTGATGATGACCGTTTGCGTTATGGTCGAAACGTCGTGAGAATTTTTATTTTTTATATATATTTTATTATTTTATTGTTTCCCTTCAGCGTGACTTTACCGAAAGAGCTAAGAATAAGTGTTAGACAGTTCAATGGGGGGGTCACACAAGACACATGGAACACCCTGTACAGTCAGCTCACACTCACAAGTTAATCCTTGACTTGGATTTGAATGCATGAGGAGGTCATATCATTACAAGACTCTGGGGAAACTGTAGACCCAGGATGGAGTTATCCGGCTCACCACAGAACCTGCTCTTGGAGGTAAGGAAGATCCCATTAATGCAAGTATGTTCATGATCCCAGTACAACCATAATGAAGGTGTTTTTTGTTGGGTTAGATCGCGTAAATATTGATGTGTTGTTAAACCCGCCACCACCCGACAGAGCCAATTAGTAAGGTTTGTCACGTAAACAAAACGTGCCAATTCGTTTCAACTTCAGCACGCCGCTTGTGTGTTGGAGAGTAAACCCACGACATTTACAATTTAAGTACTCAAACTTTACTGATTGTCTGTGTCGGGTGGTGGCCGGTTTAAGAACACATTTATACTGGTAGGAACCTCTGGTTATACCAGCCCACAGGGGATTATTGTGTCCGTCCATCGTCCATCCAAAAATGTGAGGGGTGGGGCTGGGTGGAGAGGGGAGGGTGGGGAGGGAGGGAGGGGAGGGGCTGGATGGGGAGGGAGGGGCTGGGTGGAAAGGGGAGGGTGGGGAGGGGCTGGGTGGGGAGGGTGGGGCTGGGTGGGGCTGGGTGGGAGGGGTGGGGTTGGGTGGGGAGGGGCTGGTCACCCCGTGGTGCCCTTATAAAACTCAACGTTTAACCTACTCACGCCGGCTTGTGCCCGCCCTCACAGTCGGGCATACTGTGCGGAATACACCACGCCGCCGTTGACCCTGGCCACTGACCGAGCAACCCAACGTTCCTACCAGCTCCTTCCGCAGGAATGTGTTATTCACGCGATCTAATCCAAACTCTCCCCCCCCCCTTTATAATGGATAATATTGGTCGTGAAAGAACGTATTATAACCAGACGCTTTGGTTCTTTCGGTAAAGTCACGTAGGTAGAAAAAATAATAAATCACGACGTTTCCATCGCAACGCAAGCAGTCGTCATCAGGCGGAAGAAAGTCTAAACCAGAGGCTGGCCTGTTATAACCCAGTTTCCTACATCATTATCGATCGCTATTTCGGCATTCGCCCATTTGAGCTTTGAGCACCATCTAACAAGGGAACCCTGAATGTCGCGTGACTACAAGTGGATGTACAACAGGATCAATTATAAATTAGGTAATTAACGTATCATGGGACCTTTTTGCCAGTATCAAAGACAATGCGTTATATTATCAGAGCATGTTTGTTTGCATGTTCACCACAAGTACTGTGTGTGGTTAATGCAGACCTGATGCCTTGCAAAAGGTTTATATTTGGTGTTTGAACATCTTAATACCTATTCATATTCTTAGTTTTTTCGGTAAAGTCACGTTGAAGAGAAACAACAAAATAATAAAATATATAAAACAATAAAAAAAATCTCACGACGTTTCGACCATAACTCAAACGGTCATCTTCAGGTGTGTTGGTTTGCATAAATTTATTTTTAAACGGCGCATTTATTTATTTATAAAAAACGTTAGCGTCACGCGCAGCGATTTGGCAGTTTACCCAGGACTAGTCCATCTATATTTTGAAAAGAGGAGGGGGGAGACGAAATTTTTTATAATGTATGCTGTCTGAAAGCCAATGTAAGCGTGAACAATCAATTAAGAACTGAAATGGTTTATCAAATCTTTCCAATGATTGCTAAGATAGAATCCATCTTCTCGGTTGAAATTGTCTCTGTGCTTGTATATGTGGATAGCCTCATGAACGAATCTCTCATGGAAGCCAGATGGCTTACAAAGAACCTCTGTCTTGGAAAAGTCAATGGCATGTGAGCCTACTGAATTAGAACAATGATCTGCTACGGCCGAGGTGTTGGTCCTACAGTGTTTAAGGTCTGCTTTGTGTTCACGAATGTGGTCCGAGACATGGCGTTTGGTTTCTCCAATGTAACTACTACCACAGAGGCAACTTAGTTTGTAGACACCAGGGTATTGTATGTCCGGAATCACATCTTTTACAGACGGAACCAGATCACGGATTTTATGTAATGTGTTGAAACGGACCTGGATCTTGTGTTTATTCAAGATTTTGGAGATCTTTTTTGTGATCCCAGCAATGTAGGGTAAAGTGATGGTTTTGAAAGGCTCCTCAAGAGGGTTCTTCTTCATGGTTTGAGTGATAGCTATACAATCCGCAAAGCTATCACTCAAACCATGAAGAAGAACCCTCTTGAGGAGCCTTTCAAAACCATCACTTTACCCTACATTGCTGGGATCACAAAAAAGATCTCCAAAATCTTGAATAAACACAAGATCCAGGTCCGTTTCAACACATTACATAAAATCCGTGATCTGGTTCCGTCTGTAAAAGATGTGATTCCGGACATACAATACCCTGGTGTCTACAAACTAAGTTGCCTCTGTGGTAGTAGTTACATTGGAGAAACCAAACGCCATGTCTCGGACCACATTCGTGAACACAAAGCAGACCTTAAACACGGTAGGACCAACACCTCGGCCGTAGCAGATCATTGTTCTAATTCAGTAGGCTCACATGCCATTGACTTTTCCAAGACAGAGGTTCTTTGTAAGCCATCTGGCTTCCATGAGAGATTCGTTCATGAGGCTATCCACATATACAAGCACAGAGACAATTTCAACCGAGAAGATGGATTCTATCTTAGCAATCATTGGAAAGATTTGATAAACCATTTCAGTTCTTAATTGATTGTTCACGCTTACATTGGCTTTCAGACAGCATACATTATAAAAAATTTCGTCTCCCCCCTCCTCTTTTCAAAATATAGATGGACTAGTCCTGGGTAAACTGCCAAATCGCTGCGTGTGACGCTAAAGTTTTTTTATAAATAAATAAATGCGCCGTTTAAAAATAAATTTATGCAAACCAACACACCTGAAGATGACCGTTTGAGTTATGGTCGAAACGTCGTGAGAATTTTTTATTGTTTTATATATATTTTATTATTTTGTTGTTTCTCTTCAACGTGACTTTACCGAAAAAACTAAGAATATGAATTACTGCAGTTACGAAAGCTTTAAATCAAAATCTTAATACCTGTTTTAGTGTCAGAAAGGGTACAAACCTATGCTTATTTTTCACAATGTAGTTACTGTTGTGCTTTGATAAACAATGCCCACGTGAGGTGCTGCATCTAATCTAACATTTCCCACTGTTGCTAGGAACACGCGAGAGTGACGGAGCTGTTCAACTCGTGGCTTTTGCTCGGGATGAGACACGGGGAATGGGATTTCTGACCCGATTCCACAGCCTGGACAAAGCCACACGTGGTTCAGCCAACAACAAAGGCCTTCCCAGTGTCAAGGCAAAGGTGCAGCCCTGCAATTACTTGCTCGTGACACTGCTGGCAGAAGGGCCTCCACTGGAGGGCGCTCTGGAGCCTCGCTACAGGACAATTAGGCCGATTCTTTCCACGCTGGTCAGACGCCTCGGAATAAAAATGTGGGCGTACCCACACTTTGCCCCACCACAGACACACTGCCGATGAACTGTGGTGGACAGAGGTGGTGGTGGGGGGGGATATTACGAAGCTTGGACTACTGCAGGGGTGGCCAACCTGTAACAGACCAAGAGCCAAAAAATACCCATGAGTTCTGCGAAGAGCCAAGTCAATATATATATATAAAAGTATATATATTCTAGAGTTGATATATATTGATAGTATATATATTGATAGTTTTTGGCACAGCACGAGAGATATTCATGATTGTTCTTGCGACTGTGATAGAATGTTCTACCTTATGGGGAGCGGTAATGTAGTGGTTAGCGAGCTGCGCTATGAACCCGGCGACTCGGGATCCATTCCCGCTTACGGCCACCAACAGCAGTGACGATTATCTTAACCGGTCATGGGCCTCCCCCTAGGTCGACTCAGCCTCAAATGAGTACCTGGTGTGGTGTGTGTAGACAAAGGCGGCCGGGCGTGGTGCTGCCCCCCCACCCCTTTGTGTGCCGTGCCGGCCTTCAGACGTGCTACTCGTTAACATCACTTGCCCCAACAGTCTGTTCAGCCTATACGGGGGATCTTTGTCTACGTTACGCCGCTTCGACAGAGCCGCACGCCGCCGGCGGCTTTGGGCAAACGCCGGGTTGGCCACCGCTGCACGAATGCTTCAGCTGTTGGGATTGGCAAAGTCCGGCGTGCTGACCGCTAGAATCACGGCGGCATCCCCGGCAACAAAGCACAGAGCTGCGAGGCAACGAGTGATCACCGAAGCCACCGGGGTGCTCACCTTCAGGACGCGCCTTGGGTTTGGCCAGCCCGCCGTCCTGCATCAGCTCAAAGGCAAAGGTGACGTTGTGGACCTGGCACACATTCGAGATCGATTTTGGAGTAGAAGCCTCGAACGACAGGTTTCGCGTAAAATTATAATGCTCACTATTTTGTTTTTACTTTTAAGTTCGACCGATGTTTAATGCGTTAATTGTTGTCACACCAGTGTTGAAAGTCACAGTGTGGAGTATCCTGAATAGTCAACTGTTAAAGACGAGTCGCGACCTTCAATAGCCACCGACTGAGACGTCACGGACTCTTTACCATCTTGTCAAACATAAGCAACCGCAATGCAATATGAGCACGGTTGGCTGCATATGGTGCAAAAGAAGTTCAACCAGCTTACATTACAATATACACATGATTTAAACCCATTCTATATTTACATTTGAACTCAATATATTAATACATTCTAAGTTTGCTAAATGTGCAGGAGCAAGCTGATAAAAAAGCAACAACTAAAGACCATATTCTTAGCTCTTTCGGTCACGAAAGCTTTAAATCAAAAACTAAAGACCAGAGGCCTGTCTTGGAGTGAAGCAGAGAAAGCTGCTAAAGACCGTCCGGCATTGCGTGGGAATGTTGCGGCCTTCTGCTCCATAGGGAGCAAAGAGGAGTAAGATAAAAAATAAGAAGTTGATCAAAGGAAACTTTTTTTTATTTTACCAGGTAAGGCCCACTAAGCTATATAGCTGTTTCTCAGAAGTGACCTGGCCACAAATGATAGCTCAACGAAGTGGCTTACCGCGTGGGAATGTCTAGCAGCAGCCAAATACTCTGAACACGTCAAGTTGATTCTAAACGTTGAGGGAAAAACCGGCCCTGGGCACCAAGTGATAAGCTTATGGTAGGAGTGGAGCAGTGGCGCAGTGATCGGCGAGCAGCCCGGGAGGGCGAGTGACGTCTAAACCGGCCCTGGGCTCTCCCCCTCTTCACCAACCCGCATTGACCATCACGGCGAAGTATGGGTAAACACACCCCCATGACAAAACTCGGCATGTGGCAGCCATCGTGCAGCAGTTGATTGATAATGAACCAATGTAACTAATTAAAGCTGCTTCAACGGTAATATGCTCTTGCTGTGTAGCGGTTACGCATTCCATATTGAATCCTACATAAAAAGGTTTCAACCACATATTGAGAAGTGGTTGGTGTGAGGCTGTGCAATATATATGTGTGTATACTGGTCTGCATTTCTTACACAGCCCTAATTGTCAGTCCACTACTGGACGAAGGCCTCCGCCCCAAGCCATTTGGGTGTTGCTCGATCACACGTCACCGCGCTGGTCAGGGCTGCTTGGCGAAAGAGAACGCAGGACCAGTTCAGATTTACTGACCGCCAATGTTAGCAATGGCCGGGAATCTAACTCGCGTCCCCAGGTGTGGAAAGCAAAGTTCCAACCACTGTGCCACCTTCCAAACCCCTACATTCCTTTAGCATTGCAACATAGCAGAAACCTCTCAAACTTCTTCTGCTCTGATTCAACGGTAACTATAACCTTACATTGAGGTGGTTGAACCAGATACTTGCTGTCAGGAGTAGCCGAGTGTATCGCTGTGACGATGTCTCCTTCGTGTTCGTTCACCGGGTATCGAGCTGTGATACGTTTCCATGGTCGGTTCTGTTCTGGGTGACCAGTAGCACACTGGTGCGTTTTAAAACATATATACTGTACTTTCCTCTTTTTATTTATTTATCGTGGCAAGAACACGAGCCCAATATACAACGCGCCGATGGTTTCTGGAGGGGGGGAGGGTGGTGGTGGGGGGGGGGACTATCGGCGTTTCAGAGCCATCCTTGGGTGGGGGGTGGTCGCCGAGATGCCCCAACCTGTGGGGATCTTCCGTCAGGGTGGGGATGGGGGGGAGGCTTATATATGGGGCGGGGGAAGAGGGGGCGTGGAAGAGATAACCACTGGACAGTTTTTTTCGCTTTCATTTGTGCGTCAAGCATTTGCCATCCATGAACTGGCCTAAAGCATGTTTTTTTTTTATATATATAGTTTGTTGTAACATTCTTACGTTCTTACCCGCCCCGACTGGACATTTTCTGATTATGATTCCATGGGCAATGGTCAATGGTGGCAAGGAGGAAGGGCGTGGTGGGGTTACAAATGGAGCCCGGGGAGAGAACGCGAGGAGTGGGCGTGCACAGAAGCCGCGATGCGAGAGATTGCCGAGACCGATCGTGCGCGTTACCTTCTGATCGAAGCTATCGGGCGTCAGGTAAAATCCGTACAGAGGCACGAAGTATCCCTCCAGTAGGCCCATGAGCAACACCAGGTACACCCCGTCCGCAAACTGTGAAGCAACAGATCCAATCGATGGGCCCACCAGAAAAACAGACCATTACAAACAAAGCATCCATACACAGAATAACCTTTAATAATAATTTAAACTTATAATGAGCCGTACGGTGTTCGCTCACTCTCATAGAGAGAGAACAACTACGGGATATGCAAGGAACCACGGACAGGCAGGAAGGTCGTAACGTAATGAGCTGGTGCCAACAATTTTCCTGGCTCTGCAGTCCTCCAAATATTCACCCTTTGCCATTCCGGTGACGTACGCGTACGTCATCAGTTCATTTTAGTTTTCGTAAAATAAAAATAAAATTAACTTCATCAGTACCGAGGCTCCCACAAGGCCATGTGGGAGGGCGTGTGGCACAGTTGGGTCAGATTGCCATGTGAGTAAGAGGCCAATGGGTGGCTTACACTCTCCTCCATCCGACGCAGGCAAATACATTGAGCTGTCACGTGAACAAACGTGCAAGTTGTTTTCTTTTATTGTTTCAGCACGCCAGAATGTTGAAGAGCAGCCTACGAGATTTTGAGCAATGTGGTATGACGTTTCACTGGTAGTCGCAACCAGCATCATCAGGCGATTTCCAGTGCAGTAGCTTACCTACGTGTCAAAAGGAGTCACGTTCAGGTTGTTCAGATGCAAATGCTATTTTCATTAACAGGATACACGAGTATACATTTCTGGAAATATTAAATATTAAAGAGAGTAAAAGCTAGTTAATTAAGATTAATTCTTTAATGAGCTGAGGATCATGAAACCGAATGATAAAAAAACATAAATTAGGTGGGTAATTAGTTAATTGTATTAACTTGCATGTTGGCTTAAATAATATGAGCTTATGAATGCCGGAATTATAGGTGTACCGATATCCTGGACATATCACAAATGTATTCAGAGTGAAGCTCCCAGTAATTAAATCAATAATGTATATCCTACATGGATCAGTACTGGCGACTCTGGGTCACAGGTTACTATTTTTAAAAACTATGAACTAAAAGTATTTTTATTTTACTAAGTAAGGCCCACTGAGCTCTTTTTCAGAAGCGACCTGGCCACAAAAGTTAGCTGAATTAAGCCTACGTGTTAAACTGAATTAAGTTGCTTATCGTCACGTGGAAATGTATAGCAGCCAAATACTCGAAATGCATGTCGATGCTAAATGTGGAGGGAAAAACCAGATGATCCAAAGAAAAATCCACACGACCACGGGGAGAACGCACAAACTCCAAATATACAGGCATTGTCAGGGTGGGGATCAAGCCCTCGACCTCCTGCATACCAGGTGAGGTAGTTAACATCTCCTAGCCACCATGGCGCCCCACATTCACTGTGCCCACCAGCACGAGAGCTTAGGGCAAAGCACGGGAGCCTACCTGCGTCTCCAGCTCGGTCACCTCCAGGTTCAGCTTGTTGAGATGTTTGTTCACGAAGGTGATCAGAGACTGAAACAAAATACATTACAAAAGATGAAACTCTTGATATATAAAAATATATGTTTTTTTTATCAGGACAGTTTGTATGCAATATATGAAGGCTTGCCAGCTCTCGTCACTGGGTTGGGCCTCGACGAGAGCTCTAGAGACAGCCTCTACCGGCTACGTTAGAGCCGACTCTTCCACACTTGGCAGACTTCTTGGTAGAGGTGGGAGTGCCCACACTTTACCCCACCACACCTGCCGACTCACTGTGTTGTACCCATTTACAATTCTGGGTGGACAGAGGCGACGGGGGCGGGGGGGGGGGAGGATTTAAGAAACTTGCCACCACATTGTTTAAACTGCCGCGCCTGGAGATTGAACCGTCGACCTCTGCGTTCACAGGTCCGGTGTGTTGACCTTGACGACACAGCAGCACGCGACTATAAATAATGTAAAACCTTAATTATTCTCATGTCACTCGTTATAATAATGTATTTGTGTATAGCGTCCATGAAAAAAATTGCATCTCCGAATGCTGCGCTAGAAAGTTATTTAATAAATAAGCGCATTATAAAAATTATCATTTGGCCTGGCTTTAGAGCAGGGAGAAATTCATCAAAGTTATTGTCCAAAATATGAGTCCACTTTTTGTTGTGTAAACCAGGCGGCGTTTATATAATTTTGCTTAACTCAGTGAGAACTCGAGGGATGGGAATTGCCTCGTTCACAAGAGCGACCACGGTTACCAAAACAATCACTGAACAAGTACAACAACGAAGCGAATAGAAATCAGAGCAAAAACAACCGCATGGCAAAACACCACCACGTTACAGAAGGAATCGAAAACCGGAGCGATACTTTTCCAAAAGTTACTTGCAAAATATATCGGTGTCAAGTGCTGCAATGTAAGTGATATTATTATCTGAAGGCCTCAAATGCACAGTCGTGATGGCTAGGGGCTTAGGGGTAAACACGTTGCTTTCAACGATGAAACAACCAACTCATAGGCTCGTTACAACGCATCGGGGGGGGGGGTTCACATTTTCAACACGCATATTGGATGAGGGATCCACCCGACGCTTCTATATTAGCCGGCATGTGACCAGGATAGCCTGTAGGTTCTACGAGGTCTGCGGATGCCTTCCGTGGGACGTTATAAGCGGGGGGTGGGGTGGGGGGAGAAGTAAACATGTTTGTAAAGGCCAGAATAAAAGTGAAGCAACCACAACGGGCCAAGCAACTGGAACCAAATACTTGCAAAGAAAAAAAATATATCTGAAGAGGACGCAAGTTGAAATCGTCACGGCAGGTAACAACAAACGGATGTCTTTTACCGGCACGGCAGGTAACAACAAACGGATGTCTTTTACTGGCACGGCAGGTAGCAACAAACGGATGTCTTTTGCCGGTCTCCCCAGAACGAAGTTGTGCTACGAGCGTGAGCTCGCAATGGGCGCGCGGACGTTTTTGTACCTTTTTGACAACGTTCAGTTTGTCGGGGGCGTGGTCAAACAGCGTGTCGAATGCGTCGCGCTCTGCCAAACAGAAATGCGACATGCGGGCGGTGATGACACGGAGGGCGACAAAAACAAATCGCCACGCTTAGAATGTTAAAAAGCGCCGGGTTTTAAGGGTTCGGCGATTTGTACTCACCAAATCTTCCCGTCATCGACCTGCAAATACAAATATTAATCATTAACGATATGCGCAAGTAATTCTGGAAATATCAATTATTCAAGAGCATAAGAGAAACTTAAGTCGGGTCACCCATTTTCCTGAGCCAAAGGTTATGAAATCAATCCGACATTTTGGGAATTGTTTAGGCAAAGTCGGATTGATAAAATCGTTCCTTCTTCCCCAGCACATGGCCGTGAAAGAAGGTCACGGCTTTATTGAGTTGTTTTGTTAATTGTGCTTGTGCTCCGCTGCCAATTTGCAGCAGCGGATAATAATCATAATCAAAATGAGTTTAAATGTGAAGTTATGGTTGCCGTTCCACTCACTCTGTGGTGGTGGTGATTTTTTCCTGCACCTGACGCGTTTGCAAGCTTCCTCCTCGTTTCTAGAACAAAATCACACGAAGCATGCCACACAGTACAAATAAAACCATCTGCTGGTCCATGACTTCATGTTTGAACAACGAGAGACAGTAGCCGCTGCATATTACTGTGTACACGAAGGCTGCTCTCTAAGCCACAGAAAAGACCCTGGTATTTGTTATTTTCATAAAAGTTACCGTGGGTCTCATTATAAAATGTATTAATATCTGGATGTCCTTTGCTGAAGGAGTGGCACACTTGTAAGGCAGGTGAGTGGTTTATTTTACACCTCTAAAAATTCCAGGTGGGGGTCATTTGAGATGCAATAGGAACATCTCATGTAGTCAATGTAAAACACGCACCTCTCGCTCCTCCGATTTGCACGGTTGGCTATGTACGGTACGAACGAAGTTCAACATGCATTCGTACAAAACACAGCGTTCCTAGTTTACAATCTATCTTTGTTGGTTGAACAGAGCGTTTGTTTACAATCTCAGATTTGCGCCATATCCCACCAACACACACACACACACGAGTGGCCCCTGCAGCCACAGCTGTATGTAGGGAGCTCTGCGCACACAGAGACGCAGCAGCAGCAGCGCGCGGGAGTCCGGCGCCGCACCTGCACGACGAGCAGCTGGATGGTCACGTGCTCGGGCAGACGGATGGGAGCGCGGTAGTGGATGGCCAGCGCCACCAGCAGGTGGAGGATGGCCACCAGATTTTTGGAGTGAATCACTGCCACAAGAAGGAAGCCACGAAAAGACAAAACCGGTGCGGGTTAACTCGCAAAAAAGGCGTTGCTTTGTTGCATCAATGTCCCGAGTGACTGGCCGACTCCGATTGCTACGTTGGAATTTAAAGGTTATAATGCTTCCAAATGCACATACAAGTTGTGTACAATAGAGAGCAAAGTTTCCACCGACGACCATCTTGTATGTATGCATGTTGAACCCCTTTCGCACCGTACATAGCCAACCGTGCTAATCGGAGTGTATTCATTTGCCATGATTTCTGTTGCTATGAAGGAGGGAAAGGCGGGAAGGGCCCTAGCAATGTTGTTATTAACAAAAACGTGCTGAGTGTTTTTTTGTTCATTGTGCACCACTGCCAAAGCAGCAGTAGCAGCAGCAATCGCCACGTGATTCCTATGAGATTGTGGACATTTGCTGGTGTAAGATAAACATGACTCCTCTACTTACGAACGAGTTAAGTTCCAGAGCTCTGTGCGTAAGCCGATTTGTTCGTAAGTTCAACTGTACTCCGGTCGATTCCAAACGCGTGTAGGCTAAACACGGGGAATGGCTTTAAAATATGTATAATATCTTGTAGATGTAGATGCCACTGGTTCTTCATGTTCTGCAGATGTAGATCCCACCACTGGCATCTATTGTGCGGCGGTTGAACTTAGGACTCTCGGTTCGAACAGGCAACTGGACATACAAACAGGTTTGTTCGTATCTGTGAAAGTGCGTAAGTCGAATGTTTGTGAGTACAGGAGTCCCTGTTCTCATTGAAGGCTGACCTACGGGAGGGCCCAGTACCGGTTCAGATAATTGTCACTGGTGTTGTCCGTGAGCGAGAATCTAACTCTGGTGGCAGGGTTAGGGGTGCAATGCAATGCTAGCCCCCCTGCACCACCGCTCCCCACGTGTCACATTCACACACACCCTGAATTTAATGTATATATATAACTTTGAAAACATATAGCCAATTCCATTAGGAACTGCAGGGATATCAGTTTCGTTTTAGATGGGGACATCACTAAACCAGACTAAGTGTGTGAACGGGGTGTGTAGATTTAAAATCTAGATTGAAGACTCGAATCTTTAGAACTGCTTTTTGTGCTTAGTTTGTTGCCCATCTCCCACACCTCTAATTAGCACGGCTGACTACGTACGTTGTGAAAGGAGTTCAAAATACATCCGTAGGTGGGGAGTTCGGTTTAAACGACAGAGGGCGTTGCTGGCAGTCTCAGCAGCTGGCGTTTTCATTCCAATCGGCAGAGTGGCCTCATTGCATTTACACAGCACTCACAGGATTACTGTTGACACTGGTACAGAAGGGCACTTCATCACTGCCATTAGCCCCGCTTTATAACGCCAGTTCTGCCCAATAACATTCACTTACACGTCAACACACGGCTGTCACTGTCGTACGCATTATTTTAATGCTCTTTCATGCAGACTGAATTTGAATCTGATTTCGAACGTGTAAGAATGTAATCATCTATCACTGTGATCATTAACTCTAGGGAAGCCCGTCCCTTTGTATGGGCTGACATAATAAGTGACCTGACGCTCCCCACTCACCAAACACAAAACTCACCAGGCACTCAAACAATACTCACCAGATAGGGTCATTGGACACCAGTCAAATGGCACTCATGCTCACCAGATACTCACCACTCACACACACGAGATACTCACCAGTCATACTCACCACTCACAGACACACTGACCAGGCACTTGCCACTCACGGACACACTCATCAGATACTCATCACTCATACACACTCACCAGTCACTCACCCACTCTCCTATGGCTGACATGATGAAGTATCTGCTCATGGTACAGACTCCCCTTTCTAGTCTTGCATGGGCAGCATCTCCACATGACGCTTGGTCCGGCAGGTGGCGTACCACTAACTGCAATTAGCAGGCCATCAGATTTTGTCTTTGCCAACGGTTATGGGTAGTAATAATAAAAGGTCAAAGTCAATCGTATAGGTCCCTGGTTTCTCATGGTCAGAATTAAACATCGCTCTGGTAACTCGCTGCCATACGCGTGTCTTGTTACCATTCCATCCGTGTATAGTGGAGAATGAACCTGAATAATAATAAATGGCAATGATTTGTTTATGATGGAGCGGCCCTCCTCTACGCCGACGTGTCTTAAGAGTGCTTTACACGCGATAAGCGACTTGCAGCCCCGTCTAATCTCAAAGCATTGGGCAGCGGGCACTTCCAGTGCCAGCTGGGAGTGCAAGCTGCCCCTGTGCGGCACAAGGAGACCCGGCACCCGGCCAACAAAAGGGGCAACGTTTTGTGAGTTTTGGAGGGCGATGGTTGCCGCTGCTGCGTGTGCCACCCCAATTTAGTTCGTAACGAGCAACTGATGCAAACGAAAACGTACAGTCAACGGACCACTTGATGCTCCACTGCTGGGGCTTGAGGATGTGATTGACGGCGAGCAGCACCGTCTGAAGCTTCTGCTTTTGTCCAATCTCCGACTGCGTCACCTCCGCCACGTTCAACTTCTGCTGCCCCAGGGCCTCTGCCGCCGGCCGGGGACAGGCGCAGGGGAGCACACAACACGGGATTCACGTGGCCGCGGTCACAGACGACCACCTCGTGGATGAATCAGAGACGTGAGGACTGCGTTATTTTTTACTATTACAGTAGACTATTATCCGCATGGAGGTTTATCCGATTTGCGGATTAACCGCACACTTGAGATTTCATCATAAATTAATAACTGGTGGATTTTCCCTTAAGCCCAAATTAGTAATCTGAAAACAGTTATGTACTGTTATTCTTGGAAATGTTTATTATAAGTCACGTGGTTAAATCAAACAAATATGTTGCTCCGGTTAATCCGAAATCCACGTGATCTCCTCAACAGTACAGTAGTTGCATATCTTTAAAACAATGGGCGGAGTTTGATTGATTTTGATTGGCGTGGCTCTGCCATCCACTTCATAGGCAGACTCTTCTCTGTGCGGGAACAGGAAAGTATCATTACTGAGCACGTGCATCATTGATCGGTCGATTCTTTACTACAACTATTTGTTTTGTCCATTAACGAACTCAATTTGCTTGACTTAGACAATAATTGATACCTATTGCCGTGGTTTTTGGGATAGAGATCCATGGGAAATGGATTTTTTTTTTATTATCCGCGATTTTGAATTATCCTTGGCCATCCTCCCCATTATTAGCGTGGATAATCGAGTCTCCTGGATTATTATTCTTAAGTTTATCTTCCCGAACAGTGGTGGTGCACGCCTGTAATCCAGCATTGTCATGGCGAGGGTTTGGGGATCGCACAAACGTTGTGGCAGGAGAATGCAGTACCAGCAAAAATGCGGACTGCACCTGTTCAGTCTGTATAGGATAGTGCTGACCTCGCATGCGTGGATTTTGTCCGGGCGCTCTGATTTGCTAGCCCATGTAATCACTCGTTAATTGGCTGAAAAGATCTTTAATCTACATAGGGGACGGCAGCGCTTGGACAACCGTTGGTAGTGCCGGCTCACCAGCATGGCTGCCTTCCATCTCGTCTGCGGTTACACCTCGCGTCTCCAAGTCATGTTTTTGTTTGTGAGTGTTTAGTGTGTTGTCCTTCCTCTCGCACCTCGGATTAGCGCGGTCGGCTACGCATGGTGCGAAAGAAGTTCAACAAACATTCGTATATTCTCTTCTCGAGCGAGCGAACGAACACCGTGCGGTGGTGGCGGCGCAGCGTTCCACGTTTGAATCATGACTGGAAGATCTCAGCGAGTCTCAAGAATCGACAGACGACGGCAAGCCACACTCACCCAAGAGTTTCTGCAGAACCTGCCCATCGTAGAGGTCCTCTTCCAAGTTCTTCACAATGATGCGCTCATCGACGAGGACATCGTTTATCCAGTCGATCAGCACCTGTCAGGACAGCGTCACTGCGTTCTAATCAAGCGCACGGTTGCAGTGCATCACACAGTAGTCATAGCAAATAACATCACGAGTACCATTGGTCAGTTTAACACGTAGGCTTTCGCAACCAACATTATCCACAAGAGGTTTTTTGGGTTAGATCGCATGAATATAAATGTGTTGTTAAACCCGCCACCACCCGGCACAGCCAATTAGTAAGGTTTGTCACGTAAACGAAACACGCCAATTAGTTACTAGTACAGCACACCGGTGTGCTGTACTAGTACCTAATTGGCGTGTGTTGTTTATGTTACGCGATCTAACCCAAAATTCTTCTTACGGATAATATTGGTATACACGCCATTCTTATAGGAAGGTGCTGTGTTCAAAGACAAAGTAATGATAATACCTTAAACTTGTAACATGCCGTACGGTATCCGCTCGCCTTCAGTGACAGTGAATGACTCAGTGGTGCGAGGAACCACAGACGAACAGGAAAGGCAGCAGCCAGGTTAGCCGGCCCAAACTATTTCCCAAGCTCTGGAGTCCTCTATCCATTAAGGTAATCTGCGGTAATGTCACAGTAGGGGGTTACGCATGCCGTGTGTGATCCTAATTGCGCATTGCATCACATACCAAGGCACGGCGTTAGTGGCACTGCAGGCAAAATCAGTAACGGTGTGAGCACAGTACCCGAATGAGTTCCTGCAGCTTTGGCTCATCCTTGTAGTTGGGATCGATGATACTCCTCTCTTCGTTCTCCTCTGCCAAAACGACACACAGCAGGGTTAGCATCTTCAGTTTCATGCAATCGCTTGTTGAATATTCAGTTCATGTGAAGTAGCCCATAATTATAGTACGCAGCCTTTTGTCAGTCCACTTCGAGATGGACGACCTGCCCCAAGGTATATCGGTCAAGGGAACCTTTTGCCTGTGCATCAACACACTGGTCAGTGCACGTTGATGGAGGGGGGGGGGGGTGGGGGGAGCAGAACCCAATCAGATATCTAGTTAACCACGGCCGGAAACTGAACTCAGATTGCCAGTGTATATTGCGCAGCGCGCAAACCGCTGAGCCATCGCTCCACCCCATTGTGCAGGAATTTTGTACGATCGCAAATGTCACACACACACACACTCCTCATTTACACAATCATGTGGCGGGCGGAACGCCCGACCGTTGGCGGATCAGCACAGTTCTAGTTGGGGAGAGGCATTTTCACTTCTTTTTTCCGTGGGGAAAGATATTCCTTTCTTATCCACAACATTATCCTTGAATAAACACAGTGAGAATTCATGGGATACATTCCCCACACGCGCGCGCGCGTGCGACCCTTAAAAGGGAACAGCACCACGACGCCCGGTTGCAGCAAGCGCGGCTGTGCATCCGTCCGTCTTCCCCAGCCACTCGCACGTTGGGTTTGGCCCCCATCGTGATCTGTCGCCAGCTCGTGTCGGGTCTCCCCCCCGCCACCCCCCACCACGTGATTAGCTCCTGGGTATTCGGCTGCAGCGCCTGATCATGGGCGGCTCGTATTTGATGCGATGTCCCAGAAGGGACACGAACCATGCCCCACGCGTACGCATGAACGCACGGTGCGTACAATACGCACCAAACTAGACACTTTCATGAATTTATTTTCAGTAGTTTACAATTAAGATAACAAATAAATACATTCACTATATGCACCCGCAATTCCTAATGGGAAGGACGAAGCGAACCCCTGCCCCTCTCCCAAATATAGAAGTCAAACTCCGCCTATGGCAAAAATAAAAACAGGTGACGTTCCGGGCAATGGCTCTTCTCTATGTGCTTTGCAGACGGGCCATTGTCCCCTGACGATATCCTTGTCAGCTTCGATGTGGTCTCTCTGTTCATCAAGGTCCCAGTACCTGATACCATTGAAATAATTGAAAATTTGGTCCAACATGGACTAGACCCCGACACACCTGCACTGGTTAGGCACTGCCTCAACAATACCTACTTTACTTGGAATGGCTCCTTCTACAAACAAAATGAGGGTACCCACATGGGATCCCCCTTATCACCAGTGATAGCCAATATTTTCATGGAGAAATTTGAATCAGACGCCATCCAGACTTCCACCCTCAGACCTTCCCTGTGGAAGAGATATGTGGATGACACTTTCGTCATTTGGCCACATGGCCTCCCAGCTTTGAACCTTTTCCTAGACCACATCAATTCCAGACACCCCGCCATCAAATTCACCATGGAAGTGGCGAAAGGTGGCAAGCTGCCATTCTTGGATGTTCTGTTTGAGAGGAGACCTGATGGCTCATTGGGACATTCTGTCTACAGGAAACCCACCCACACAGATTCCTACTTAAAACCTGATTCCCACCACCACCCGACTCAAAATAATTCTCTCGTCAAAACGTTATACCACAGGGCTCATTGCATTTTGGACCAACACCACCTGACCAGTGAATTAAAACATGTACATCTGGCCCTCAAGAGGAACGGATACTCTGACCGTACCATCCGCCAAGCTGTTTCTCCCTCCATACAGAAACAACCACTTGATACTCCGATCAAAACCATCACACTACCATATATAGCAGGCGTTACTAAAAAGATCTCCAAAATTCTAAACAAACACAAGATCCTGGTCCGGTTCAATACAGTACACAAAATCCGTGACCTGATCCCATCCGTGAAGGATGTCATTCCTGACTTACAGTACCCCGGGGTTTACAAATTGAGCTGCACCTGTGGTGACTGCTATATCGGGGAGACGAAACGACATATCTCTGACCGAATTCGCGAGCACAAATCAGAATTGAAACACGGCAGAACGAATTCTTCTGCCGTGGCTGATCACTGTTACAACGCTGTGGATGATCACGATATAGTTTTCTCCGATACCAAGGTTCTCTGCAAACCCACGGGTTTTTATCAGAGATTTGTCCACGAGGCAATTCAGATTTACAAACACAGACACAATTTCAACCGAGAGGATGGTTTCAAATTAAGCAATCATTGGAAAGATGTTCTAAATCAAACCAAACATTAAACTAATTTTCAATGGTACAGTATATTTATTCAAGTAGTGGTATTCCAAACTTTCACAGCAGCTTATTTCCCTTCACACCAACATTATGTAAACTGCCCCCCCCCCCCACGCCGGTCCATCATGTACCTCCTACGTACATCATGCTCATTTTTATGCTAATTCCTTTGTCAAGGCGCTTTCGTTTCCTCCCACACAGCTTAAAGGACGCGACCTGGGCTTGGATATTTTCACTCCAACGCTGTCCTCTGGACAGTCCGGTCCCTTCACTTGATGAAGGCCACTTGTGTTGTGGCCGAAACGTCGTGATTTTTTGATGTTTTATTTTTTACCTACGTGACTTTACCGAATAGAACCAAAGAGTATGGGCCATTCCTTTTGCGGCGGTATTATTGACGAACGTGTAGATTTTTTATTAATTGTGCTTGTGCACCACTGGTATTGCTGCAGCAGCAGCATCACTAAATTGTCCGTAATGCAGATAGGTCTACATCACACTTAAACAGTGTACCTCCAGAAAAACTAAGGCAAACACGTACCAAGCATGGTGTCCTCTGGGTAGAGATCCAGGGGAGTTGGTGAGAGAGGGGAGTTTATCGCATTCTTCCCTTCTTCTTGAAGTTCGGACACTGAAAGAACAAAAACATCGGACAGGCGACGGGCGTTCAGCTTTTAATTAGAACAGCAAAGGAACACCCGCACAACATTTATCTGCGTGTGGTCAGCTCACTTTAACAGCAAGCGTATGTGAGAATAATTATATCCACAAGGACAGCTGCCACTGGGGGGTGCCCCTTTCAAGCGCTTGATATACGAGAAGTGATGTAGAGAGTCCGAGACACCGTCACGGTAAAGAAAGGCACTGTTTAATAAATAAATAATTACCAAACCATTACCGTTATTCTGATCATATCCCAGCGCTGTACGGCTCTGGTCTGCTGGTTGCAGTGCAAAAATTATATCATCATTATCGTCATAACGAGCATCGTCATCAGCAGCAACGGCGCATGCCTGTAACCCAGCACTATCGAGGCAAGAGATCTTGCCTCGATAGTGCGGACACATAGGGCAGTGACATGCTATATAGGGCAGTGACGTGCTATATAGGGCAGTGACGTGCTATATAGGGCAGTGACGTGCTCGTTCAACTCTGTGAAGTGGCGAGGACAGATGGCAGTCCGGCGAGTTGGATCGTGAACCCATCTGTGTGGAGCTCCGAGGGGCTCTCTTTGTGCTCACGCTAACGTACCCCCCCCCCCCATCCCCCGATGAGTGTGTACACACCGAGCATCCCCACTTACATTGTATCGCGTGAACACAATTATCAGAGATTTGTAACTTAAATACCCCGCGAGTGTTTTCTCTTGGTAACCTAAAAAAAGGGACCCTTACCCACCCACTCGCCCGCCAGTGCAATCCGTACACACGGCGCCAATCAGACACAGGCGCGTGACCCGGCACTTTGGAGGCGAGGGCTCGTGGATCGTGCAGATTTCTGGACACCCCCCCCCCACACCCCACCCCCAAAACTCCTCTGGGCTGTAAGAGATCGCTGGGGAAAAGGCAGTACAGCATATCGGCTCAGCAACTCACATGCGTGGGTCTTTTGGTGCGGCGTCATTCCCTCGTGTGTGTCGTTCATATCCCGGACGTTCCATTTACTCGAATTCAGTAAACTGGGAGCTTGCCCATTGATGTTTCAACTGCCGCACGCACTGGGAGATAATAGCCGCCGACCTCTCAATTGTCAAGTGTGCTGATCATTCCGCCGTGGCAACGTAGCACCACTGGCGAGGGTTGTTAGATTCGAAATCGTGACGTCCGTAAGTAGCCGGTTTGGGCATTTTTTACTCGCTTCGAGCGGCCCGCAGTTGCTTGCGGCGAGCGGGTACAGACTGCTGTGGGAGAATGGCGTGAGCGCAGAGGTGTGCCGTGAGTGGGGGGGGTGTGGTGTGCACGTGTGAAATGCGGGCAGGAATGTGCGTTCTCGTGAGCGCTGGTCGAGAGTGGGTGGGGAGGTGTCGGATGTTCGGGAGAGGGGGCATAGCGCCCCCTGACACTGGGTGGTGGGGATGGAAGTGTGTGTTTGTTTTTCTCTCTCTCTCTCTCAAGCCAAAGGGAGCTGGAGAGACCAAAACAAACGAGAAGCGGCCTCAGGTGTCATGCGAAGGCGGGAGCCAATCGAGGAATCCTCACAAGGAGGTGGGGGGGGGTCTATCTGCTTTCTCTCCATGGGAACGACTGAACAGAGAGCGGCTTTTAGGTCGCGTTTTGCAGAGGCGATTATCCAAGGGCGACTTCCAGAGCCTCCCGTGGGGGAAACTGTGTGGCGAAAGCAGCTATCAGCGGCCATCCACTCTGCCGTGTCCCAGCTTGTTAGTGAAGGATCCGGAGCGCGGGACCCTGTTTACTCCCCTAGCAGGGGGACCATTACGCGATTGTAACATAATCGACTGCGTATTGAGTCAATGGCTGGTCTTGGGTTAGGCCACGTAATGATCTGGACAATTTTGTGCCACGCAAACACTCGGCACAGCCAAATAAATTTAATTATTAAATGTTATCATTTCGGCTTGCCCGCAAAGTTTAGGAAGAATGCGTGAAAACCAATCTTGCAAAATTTGTCTGGAAAAGCCTACGTGTTGGAATGTATATTTATTACTTCCACATGCCACTGTGTCGCATTATCCACTATCGTCGTCGTCATCATCATCAGCCATGCTCAATGCACTGCTGGATAAAGGTCCCCCCAACCCCCCACCAAGCTGCCTTCGTCTGTCAGGATCCTGCGGTGAAATTATCCACCCAGCACCTTATTAAATTACTATAATAATTCTCCACTATACAATTATCTAATGGTAGCACGGTCCAGGCATATGGCAGTGTTTGCAGCTGTTTGAAAATGAACACATTTTGCTTTGGCGGTTTCACACGGCACATTAAATAACGCAGCAATCCACTGATTTAAATAGATGCCAACATGTGTGCAAGAATGGACTGCAAGTGTTCCCTTTTGATACATGTGTGAATGATTTGGTTCATGAGAAGCCTGCAGTCACATCGCATTTTTTTATACATATGCCATTGGGTTTTTTTCACGTAATAGTTTTGTTTTAGTATGTATCATGTGGAATACTTTTTTACTGTTCAGTGCTTTCGGCGTGGGAAAAGGACTATGTAATAAAACGCATTATTATCAGTTTACACGCAACTCAGGACCCCGATTGTAAAAACTAATAAAAAACCGAAGGGGTGGTGGGGTGTGAATTATCACATGCCTACTATGCCAGAAGGCAAGACGACTTCAAGCCACTCGAGAAAAGAACTGCTGTAATAAGGCCAAAGTCATGCAAATCCTGACATGCGAAGGTTATGCCAAAAATACTCTAAATGAAGAGCAATTACTCAAAAAGATGGATCCCCAGCCCTGCACTGATCCATGAAATATTTTCTATCTGATGCTTCTGCGTATGCCTGATGCCAAAGTCTTGTTGAAGTGGAGCGGAGCAGTATGTCACAAAGGACACTCGCTGTAGTACAAAAGTTCATGGCACTCCAGTGGCACTCCGGTTTGTCTTGGCCGAAACATCCAGTGTGCGATGCGAGGACTGCCATGACACACAAACAGGACAGCCCTCCAGTTATTGTACTGCACTTCTTTGCTCCCACGACGATGCTCCCTGCCTTCACCAACCCGTACCGATCAGCAAGGTTGAAGTGCGATGAAATGACCCCCAAGACTCCCACATGGTGTGGGGGGAGACCCTCGTTCAACAGTGGACTGACAAACGGCCCATTTACGTGCGGCACAAGGGAGTGGTCCGTCTGTGCTGAGAAACACCGGGGGAGCCAGTTGATGACTTTAGTCCTTGGCACAACACTGCACATTGTGTGTGACGGTGAGGCAGAGCTTCCAGGGACTTCTCAGGATACCAGGATATATTTATTTCAATACGTGGGCAGCGGTTGGAACTCATGCCAAGCATAGCAATGGTTATAACCCACTGGCACCTGCTTGCAAAATGATGAATACGTACGTCCACAGCTGTCTGCTTCAAGAGTTTTAACATGTTCCTTTTGCATTGGTCTATCTCTGCAGTGGTCATCCTCTTTGGCAGATAGTCCATTAATAGTCTCTTCCATCAGCCATCATCCCTTCTGGAGACGTGTCCTATCTAAGCCCACTTACTTTATACAACTTAATAATGTCTCTTATTATCTTTGTTTCCTGAGCCATGTGGTTGGCACTCTTTCTTTCAGTGCAATTCTAAGCATGCATCCCGCTACGCTTATTTGCACACTCCTCTTCAGCTGTTGTTCACCAGCCTGGTTAATAATTCCAGAATTGATATCAGGCAGGCCAGCCCGAACGTGAGTAGGTATCTTTGTAAATGGGGTCCATGTTTCACAAACACAGAGAAGAGAAAGCATAACTGTAACTGAGAGGACCAGGAGCTTCGTTTGGAGTGACAGGCCAGACATCTTACGCATTGCTTACACAGAATTACTTACGCAGCCAATACAAACATAATGCCTCTCGACTGATTCTATGAGACCCCTGCTACCAAGCCAGAGCTGTTCATTAGCACACTGCCTAAGTAGGGGAACACCTCCACTCTCTCCAACAACTGCCCCATACACAAGAACAACCGCCATTCCTCGCTAAGTAGCGGTATCATCAACGCGGCGCTTGTGCCAGACTACGATGCACCTTGTGGCTAAGTGAAGCGTCGAAGGCTCGCCAGCACGTTAAGGGACAGACTCAGGTGTTGTGGATTGACTGACTGAAAAGACTGGTGAATGCACCACCTGTGCTTCCCACTGTGCCTACTTTCTGTATTTTAGCCACTCAGCACTCCGCTCGATGTTGTGAGCGTCGTTCCTTTTCCCTCCGTTGCTACCGGAGAGCGACTGCCTCAAACTGCCCAGTAGCAGCCTTTAAGAGCCTCCTCCAAAGATGCCGATCTTAACACCGCTGGTACCAGTCATCAGAAAGTCCAGTGAGCTCCACATCTCTTATCTAGCCCGTGCCATTCCCATTTAACCCCCTTTATCTGGCTAAATGTGAGCTGCTTGGGCATGCAGCGGCTGGGTATGTGGGCTAGGCTACATGGCCTACCCAACGCACACTCGCCTGCCAGAGGAGCTCACTAATGGGCCTGTCTCCAGATCTTTCAAAGATCAATGAGCTCCTCACACAATCCAGTCTGGTTACACCCATGATGGATTGTAGGCAAGACAGACTGAATATTTTAAACTGGTGCAGATGTTCCTTCAAAGGGGTCCATGTTTAACAACCATAGAGAAGGGAGGGCATAACTGTGACTGAGAAGACCCGGAGCAATGGGAAAGGTAGCTTCCACATAGTGTTACACAGCTGACGAAAAGACAATGCCACTCGATTAAGTCCTCTGCTCTAAATACCGAATCTGGCAATCAGCACAGCACGGAAACCTCTCCACTGTCTCCAAAACTGCCCCATCATCACACATGGGGAGTTTAGGGGGTTGAGTATTTGATGGCATTAAATACCCAGGTACGTGCTTTGTTTTGGTGGGGCTGATGGGTAAGACCCCACCTCTTCGTGGCACACTCCACACTCAGCAGAATAATCTCCATCTCGTTCTTA